CATACTCAAGCCGTATCCCTTCTCGGGTGTAGGCTCGGGCTCAGGGGTCTCTTCCCGTTCTGACTCAGACTTAGGGGTCTCGTCCGCCGTTATCTTATCTGTGTGCTCCTGTTTGGCAACAGTCTCAGATGGCGTTGGAACGATAAGATTGGAATCGAATCGTGACACTCTCCTTGAATACAGCATGCATACTTACGAGGTGGGAGTACCTGGCTCGCCGGGTGGGTAATTGCCCCCATCCGATAATTTTTTTGCTTATTTTTCACCCTTAAGCCAGAAATCAGAGTGTCACTGGTTGAACATTTTGGCGAAGAAACTTGTAAAAAATGTTTCCAAGTTTCCACCCCTCTTTCCAGCAAAATTCAAGTGAAAAATTTGTAACTTCCTGGTGAAGTTTTTGAATCTTGTGGAGATCTCTTGAAAACTTGATGTTTTCCCTGGAGTTCAAAGAATCCACAAGGACTGTGGAAGTTTTTCACCTGATTTTTGCTGAGAAAATTGCTGTAACCTTCAAAAGATTTGTCACCAATTGTTTCACCAGAAAACTCGAAACGTTCAACCAGTGTGTGTGTTCGGCTTCACAATGTGGGGCTAGGAAGACCTGCCGGTGAATGGATCACACCCACTTCCTTTGGTCTTGGAGGTTCAGTACTTGTACAGTGGGTGTTCCCGCTCCAATTCCGGGTCAGGTCATAACTCTGCCCTGGCATTTCTTTTGGCTTCTTCCTGTTTTTCATTTGAGCCAGAAATTATGCTGTATATTGGACCGAAGAACAGGGTTAAGAAGACCTGCTGGTGAGTGATTCACACCCACTTTCCTTCGCACATTCCAATCAAAGATGTAAGGTGGGAGTACTTGGTTCAATTCCGGGTCAGATCCTATGGTATGCCTTCCATTTATTTCTTTCTGGGAATTTAGTGCAAAAATAGATGGGTTTATTGGGCCTAAGAACAGAGGTAAGAAGCCCTGGTGGTGAATGGTTCCCACCTACTTTTATTTAGTCTCCAGTGAATATAAGGTGGGAGAGCCGGCTCGATTCGGGGTAGATCATTTGTCAGTTGCTTAACGGGTGTGAACATTTCACCACCAGGTGTTCTTACTTACCATTTCTAACCTCAATACACATTATAATTCCTGGTGCAAAATGAGATAAAAAAGAGAGATGAGAGGCTTTTTATGACCTAGACCGGAATCAAATCGGGGACTCCCACCTTACATCCTTTCGGGAATTGGCAGGTGAGTGTGAGCCATTCACCACCAGGTCTTCTTCCCTCCCCTACTAACACCAACAAATACCATGTTTTTTGGTGCCGGATGGAAAACAAATTGGCAATGAACCATAACCTAACTCGGAATCGAACCGGTGCTCCCCACCTCACATTTACTGGGATTAAAGGAAAGTGGGTGTGAACCATTCACCAGCAGATCTTCCTTACCTCTGTTCTTGGGCCCCATACACACCACAATTTTGGTTGGCAAGGAAGGAAAAAAGAACTTTGGGAGGACACCATGACCTGCCCCGGAAGCGAACCGGGAGCTCCCACCTTATGTGGCTACAAAATGCGAAAGGAAAGTGGGTGTGAACCATTCACCACCAGGTCTTCTTTACCCTGCACCTACACTCAATACACGCCACACTAAGGGTGAGAAAAGAAGTCAGCAGGTAGTGCAGTACCACAACCTGACCCGGAATCGAACCGCGGTCTCCCACTTTCCATGTTATGTGTAACTGTGAAAGGAAGATGGGTGTGAAACTTTCACAACCAGGTCTTGCTTACCCATATCTAACCGCAACACACACACACCTCTAATGAGCTCAATGAGCTCAATGAGCTCAATGAGGAAAAAAAAGCTTCAGTGGCTCATTATGAGCTGTTCCGGAATCGAACCGGGGACTCCCACCTCACGTCTCGTGATTTGTGATTTATTAAGGAGAGTGGGTGTGAACCATTCACCACAAGGTCTTCTTACCACTATTCTTGCACTGAATAAACCCACCTTTTGTGGTTCACAAATGGGCGAAAAAGTAATTCATAGACAAGCAATGACCTGGCCCGGAATTGAACCGGCTCTCCCGCTTAATGTTTCCGACCCTAACTCAAGAAAAGTGGGTGTAAACCATTCACCAGCAGGTTCTCCTCTGTCCCTTCCTAGGCCTTGATACACATTGTAATTTCTGGCTCAAAGTGAAAAAAAGAAACCATGATGACCTAGCCCAGAATTGAACCGGGGACTCCCACTTCATCCTTGGTGAAGGCCAGTGGAATCAAAGTGGGTGTGAACCATTCACCACCAGGTCTTCCTTTCCCTGTTTTAGCCTAATACACCTTAATCTTTTGTGCTAAATGGGAAAAGAAGGCCGCAAGGGAAATGACCATGCCCTAGCCCGGAATCGAACTGGGAGCTCCCACTTTATCCTTCAACCACTTACTAAAGGAGAGTGGCTGTGAACCATTCGCTACCAGGTCTTACTTACCCTCCTATGATCCTATGAAGTTCAATAAACTCACAACATTTTTCTTCAAATGACAAATGGAAAAAAAAAAAAACCCTTGTACGGAACCTGACGAACTATGACCGGACCCGGAATGGAACCGAGTATTCCCACCTCACAGCATCAGCAGAGTAGAAAAGGGTGGGTGTGAACCATTCACCAGCAGGTCGTCTTGAACCTGTTCTTAGCTCAATACACACTACGATTTTTGACTGGAAAGGCAAGTGGTACACCAGTAAAATTATACGGTGGGAGTACTCGGTTTGATTCCGGGTCAGGTCATGGGTGAACTTTGCCAATCCTTTTTTTGAGCCAGAAAGTATGGGGTTTATCAAGTGCAAGAACAGAGGTACAAAGACCTGGTGGTGAATGGTTCATGCCTACTTTCCTTCATAAATATTTGTTTCAAAGTGGGAGCACCGGTTCAATTCCGGGTCAGGTCATTCTTTCACGTAGTTCTCTCCTATTTTTATTCAGCACCAAAATTGGGGTGTATGGAGCCCAAAGGCACGAAGTTAAAAAGACCTGGTGGTGAATGGATCACACCCACCCTCATTCGACCATCACTGACATTGTGAGGTGGGAGTCCCGGTTCGATTCTGGGTTGGGTCATTGCTCCTTGTCCTCTGACTGATTTTTTCTCATTTTGTCCCAAAGATGTGGGGGTTTATTGGTCCCAAGAACAGATGTAAAAAAACTTGCTGGTGAATGGTTCACATCCACCTCACCAACTCTTTCCAAAGCAATATATGGTGGGAGAGCCGGTTCGATTCCGGGCTAAGTCATGTGTGCTTCCATGTCTTTTTTCTTCAGTACAAAAATGTGAGGGGTATAGAGCCTAAGAACAGGTGTGAGGAAGACCTGGTAGTGAATTATCCACACCCACCCCATTGCAATGCCTACAGTATGCGTGTAAGGTGGGAGTCCCGGTTCGATTCCAGGCCAAGTCATGGATCCTCCTGGTTGTCTTTGTTTCTCACCTTGTCCAAGAAATGATAGTGTGTGTTGCAATTAAAAATGGGAGGAGGAAGACCTGGTGGTGACACGGCGGACAACCAGGCAACACTTGTACAGCCGGTGGCACGCGTCACAGCAGAGCGACTGCTGGCAACACTTGCATAAAGCCGGGCAAGTTGGCCGTTCGGCCTTTTCCTTGTGCATGATGCAGTCACGTGTTTTCGGATGTTTCCGGGAAGTAAATGGTTGAAAAATGGTAATCTTTTTGTATTGGACTCAGTTATCCTTCAAGAATTCTTGATTATAGCTAAGATAAAAACTGTAGTCGTTAAGAACAGGTTTAGGTTAAAATATTGAGAGAGCACGGCGAAAGATTGAGTGAAAAGATGCCCCGAATGGTGAATATTCACTGTTCAATTTCTTCCAGCATACTGATTCACCCAGAATCTTATCTATGCATCCATTCTGATCATCCACTTACTCACATCCCTTTACAGAGCAAAGTGGGGTAGGAGGACCTTTATGAACAGACATCAACAGGAGTGTGACCAGCAAACACCTGCCGGACGCTGCCGAGGTGTTCCGCACAAGTCACACTCCCCTCAACTGCCTTCAAATCACCCAGTCCGCTGTCTACTTTGCTCTGTGAAAATTCTAGAGGCATTGGGGAGTGCAATTGGATGCACAGGGCAAAGTTTGACTAAATCGGTGTGTAAAAGAGATAGAACAAAGATTGTGCGGGGTTCGGGGCACATTTTCTGTCGGTCTCTCGACATTATGTCTCAAGGGTTGCTCCTAGACCTACTCTACGTGTTTATGGCTTTGATCATAGCCAACCCCTAAAACTTTCGGAGAAGAATTAAGTCCAATACGAAAAGATTACCATTTTCAACCATTTACTTCCCGGGCCGGAAACATCCGCAAACACGTGGCTGCATCATGCACAAGGGAAAGTGACTAAGTCCGAACCACCAAAGCGGCCGGATTTATGCAAGTGTAGCCACAGGTAGCAAGTGTTGCCAGATTGTCTGCTGTGTGAATGGATCACACCCAGCCTACTTAAGTTGACAGCCATAAAATGTGAAGTGGGCAATCCCGGTTCGATTCCGGCTCAGGTCATCAGTCGGCCATGTTCTCCTTTTTTTTCTTATTTAGCACAGAAAGTATGGGGTTTGTCAAGCACAAGAACAGAGGTGAAAAAGACCTTGTGGTGAATGGATCACACCCACCCTCCTTCAAGCATTGCTGAAGCGGTGAGGTGGGAGTCCTTCAATTCCGGGGCAGGTCATTGGTCTTCTTCCTTCTGTTTTTCATTTCCAAAAACTGTTGTGTGTGTATTGGGCCCAAGAGCCGGATAAAGAAGACCTGGTGGTGAATAGTTCACACTCACTTTCCTCCCCAGCTCGCATAAAGGATGTGAGGTGGGGAATCCCAGTTCGATTCCGGGTTGGGTCATAACGGCTCTATGAAGGCATTTCTTTATTCCTTCTGTTTTTCACTTCAAGAAAAATGTTGTGTGTGTGTTGAGCCCAAGAACAGGGTTAAGAAGACCTAGTGGTGAATGGTGCACACCCACTTTCCATTCAGATGCCCCAGCATGTAAGGTGGGAGTACCTGGTTCGATTCCGGGTCAGGTCGTTGATCTGCCTGTGCTTTCTTTTCTGCCTTCTGTTTTTCATTTCATGAAAATGTTGTGTGCATGTTGAGCCCAAGAACAGGGATGAGAAGACCTGGTGGTGAATGCTTCATGCCCACCCTTCCTGCGTGTGTATTCTTCTCAAAATGTGAAGTGGGAGTTCCGGTTCGATTCCGGGCCAGGTTGTGTTTCTGCATCATCTATCCTCTTTTGTTTTTATTTGGCACAAAAAAAACATAGTGTATTGGACCTAAAAACTGGGTCGGGAAGACCTGGTGGTGAATGAATGTATCACACCCACCCTCGTTAAGACGGTCCGTAGTGTAAGGTGGGAGAGCCGGTTCGATTCCGGGTCAGGTCATATGTCTGCGATGACATTTTTTTTTGCTTCCTTCTGTTTTTCATTTCAAGAAAAATGTTGCAGGTTTATTGAGCGGAGAACAGGGTAAGGAAGACCTGCTGGTGAACGGTTCACACCCACTTTCCTTGCAGCTGTCTTCACAAATTCCACGGTGGGAATTCTCGGTTTGATCCCGGGCTAGGTCATAGGTAAACTGACTTCTCCTTTTTTCCCTCATTTGGTCCCAAAGTATGTTGTATATCACGGCCTAGGAAGGGAGGGAGGAAGACTGGGTGGTGAATGGTTTACGTCCACCCTCCTTTACGTGTTCCCATCAAGGACATAAAGTGGGAGACCCCGGTTCGCTTCCGGGTCAGGTCATACACTGCTAGATTCCAAGCTTTTCTTTTTCTCATTTAGCACAAAACACAGGGTGTGTATTGGGCCCAAGAATTGCGTTAAGAAGACCCGGTGGTCAATGATTCACACTCATCCTCCTTTCGCAATTGTACGTCTAGTGTGGAAAGTGGGAGGGAGCCCCGGTTCCATTCCAGGTCAGGTTATGATGCCTAAGTCGTGGTGTTTTTGCTTCCTTCTGTTTTTCATTTCAAGCCCAAAAATGTGGGGTGTGTTCGGGTTAGAAATGGGAGGAAGAAGACCTGCTGGTGAATGGATCATACCCACCCTACTTAAAAGTTTGCAGTCACAAAATGTGAGGTGGGAGAACCTGGTTTGATTCCGGGCCAGGTCATAATTGTGGTGCTCCACCTTTTTTTCCGATCTGGTGTCAGAAGGGTTAGTTTTATTGGGTCCAAAAATAGGTTTGAGAAGACCTGGTCGTGAATGGTTCACACCCATCCTCCTTGCGCAATCCTCAGTGAATAAAAAGTGGGAAACCCAGTTCGATTCTGGGTCAGGTCATTATTTGCTAGCTTGTTCTTTTTTGCTCATTTGATGCCAAAAGAATTATGGTGTGTTGGAGCCAAGAACAGGGTTAAGAAGACCTGGTGGTGAGTGGTTCACCACCACCATTATTGAAAAATTGCCAGTGACTAGTGGGAGTACCCGGTTCGATTCCGGGTTGCGTCATAATTCCATTATTGAGGTTGGTTTTTTGTTCACCTTTAAGCCAGAAAGCATGGTGTGTACTGAGCTTTGCAGGAGAGTAAAAAAGACCTGGTGGTAAATGGTTCACACCCACTTTCCTTAGTCAATGTGAGGGGGGGATACTGGGTTTGTCATAGTTCATCAGGTTCCGTAACACTGGTTGGGAGATTCAAAATTTTCAGCATAATTTATGGTGAAAAATGTTGTTGAGTTTTCAGACATTTCTCAGTGAAAAAAGAGGTGAAAAATTTAAACATTTTTCACAACTTTTTGCCTTTCTTTTGAATTTTTCACCTCAAGCTCAAGAACCGATAAAAATGATTTGAGTTTTTCACCTACTTTTTCAGTGAAAAATGTCTGAAAAACAAACGACATTTTTCACCATAAATTGCGCTGAAAAACTTGAACCTCCCAACCAGTGTAAAAGGTTTTTTTTCACTTGGCACAAAAATGTTGTGTAGCAGACCGAAGAACCAGGTGAGGAAGACCTGGTGGTGAGTCATTCACACCCACCCTCATTACAATATCTGCGGAATGGGATGTCACTTCAAGTAAGGTGGGAAGCCCCGGTTCGATTCCGGGTCAGCTCATAATTCTATTATCGAGGTTGGTTTTTTTTGTTCACATTTGGCACAAAAAAGCTTAGTGTATCAGAGTACCCGGTTTGATTCCGGGACAGGTCGTGTTGAAGTTCCGTAGCATTTTTCTTGCCCAACACCCAAAAAATCGGGTCTATTCAACCAAACAGGGCAAATAAGACCTGGTGGTGAATGGTTCACACCCACTCTTATTAGGCCATATAAAGTGGGAGTACTCGGTTCGATTCCGGGCTAGGTTATGGGACCCCCCAATCGACCCTTTTTCTTTCTCATTCAGCATAAAAGTCTGGGTGAATTGACTGTAAGACCAAGGATAGAGAGGAAGACCTGGTGGTGAATGGTTCACACCTACTTTCCTTAAGCCATTCTTCCATATAGGGTGGGAGCACCCGATTCGATTCCGGACTAGGTCATAACTGTTGAATGTGGACTTTTTTTTTCATTCCATCCAGTCAAAAAAGTGTGGAGTGTGTTCAGCTTAGAAAGGGCATGAGGAAGACCTGGTGGTGAATGGATCACACCCACTTTCCTTACGTGGTACACCAGTAAATGTCAGGTAGGAGTCCCCGGTTCGATTCTGGGCTAGGTCATGCAAAATCTACAAGCACTTTTTTTTGCTCATTTGAGCCAGAAATCATAGTGTGTATTGAGCCTAAGAGCTGAGTTAACGAAGACCTGGTGGTGGATGGTTCACGCCCACCCTTTATTTGGAATGAATAAGCATATGTTGGGAGGAGTCGGTTCGATTCCGGGCCAGGTCATAACTCATCTGCAGTGATGTATTTTTTTCTGCCTCTGTTTTTCATTTCAAGAAAGATGGTGTGTGTATTGGGCCTCAGAACAGAGGTAAGAAGGCCTGGTGGTGAATGCTTCACACCTACCCTCTGTTTACCATCTGTGGAAATAAGGCAGGAGTCTCCGGTTCGATTCCGGGTCAGGACATAACTTTCCAGCGCTGGTCTTTTTTTTTATTCCTTCTGTCTTTCATTTCCAAACAAATGTTGTATGTATTGAACCTAAGAACAGGGTTAAGAAGACCTGGTGGTGAATGGGTCACACCCACTTTTCTTACGCAGTTATATCAGTAAAATTATACGGTGGGAGTCCTGGTTCGATTCCGGGCTAGGTCATAATGTGTCAAATTCCGCCTTTTTTCTCTCTCTGCATTTGATGCGAAAAAGTCTTTTGTTTGTCAAGCTTAAGAACGGGGTCGGAAAGGCCTGGTGGTGAATGGTTCACATCCACCTTATTTGGGACGCTGCTAAAAAGATTTGTTAGCTAATAGTGGGAGTACCCGGTTTGATTCCGGGTCAGGTCATATGTCTGCGATGACAATTTTTTTGCTTCCTTCTGTTTTTTATTTCAAAAGAAATGTGGTATATCGAGCCCTAGGAAGGGAGGGAGGAGGACCTGGTGGTGAATAGTTCACACCCACCCTTCTCAACTGGTCCAATGTATATGAAGTGGGAGTACTCAGTTCGATTCCGGGTTGGGTCATAAGAAATCTCTGGACTCTCTTTTTTGTCTCATCTGGCACAAGAAATAGGTGGGTTTACCGAGCCTAAGAACCGGGTTAAGGAGACCTGGTGGTGAATGGTTCACACCCACCCTCCTTTCGCAGTTACATCAGTAAAATTATACAGTGGGAGTCCTGGTTTGATGGTGAGTGTAAGAACAGAGTAAGAAAGACCTGGTGGTGAATGGTTCACATCCACCTTGTTTGGGAAGCTGCTAAAAGGATTTGTTAGTGGGAGTCCCCGGTTCGATTCCGGGTCAGGTCATATGTCTGCGATGCCATTTTTTTTTCGCTTCCTTCTGTTTTTCATTTCAAGAAAAATGTTGAGTGTATTGGACCTAAGAAGCAGTGTTAAGAAGACCTGGTGGTGAATGGTTCACACCCACCCTCCTTTCAAGTTCGCAGTCCATGCAGTAAATGTGAGGTGGGAGAGCCGGTTCGATTCCGGGCTAGGTCATTGCTCTTTGACTTCGGCCCTTTTTGAGAAATTTAGTGCTGAGAAAGTGTAGGTTATTGAGTATAATAGGGAAGGTAAGAAGACCTGGTGGTAAATGGTTCACACCTACCCTCTGTTTGCCATCTGTGGAAATAAGGCAGGAGTCCCCGGTTCGATTCCGGGTCAGGTCATGGGTAAATTCTGCTAATCCTTTTTTTGTTGGTCTTTAAGCCATAAATCATAGGGTGTGTTGAACCTAAGAACGGGGTAAGGAAGACCTGGTGGTGAATGTCACACCCACACTGGTTGGGAGATTCAAATTTTTCAGCACAATTTACGGTGAAAAATGTTGTTCAGTTTTCAGACATTTTTCAGTGAAAAAAGAGGTGAAAAATTTAAACATTTTTCACCATTTTTTGCCTTTCTTTTGAATTTTTTACCTCAAACTCAAAAAATAGTAAAAATGATTTGAGTTTTTTACCTACTTTTTCAGTGAAAAATGTCTGAAAAACAAACAACATTTTTCACCGTAAATTGGGCTGAAAAACTTGAATCTCCCAACCAGTGCCACTTTTCTTAAACAGTACACCAGAGAGATAAGGTGGGAGTCCCCGATTCCGGGTTGGGTCATATTTCCTCCTGCAATTGCCTTTCTTTTTCACCCTTAAGCCCAAAATCATAGTGTGTATTGGGCTTAAGAGGAGGGTAAAGAAGACCTGGTGGTGAATGGTTCACACCCACTTTCCTTAAACGGTACACCAGAGAGATGAGGTGGGAGTCCCCGGTTCGATTCCGGGTCAGGTCATGTGTGAAGTCGGCCAATCCTTTTTTCCCATTTTTGGGTCTGGAATGATAGTGTATATTGCACCTGAAAACTGAGGTATAAAGACCTGGTGGTGAATGGCTCACACCCACCCTCCTTCATTCTGCCGACACTGTGAGATGGGGAATCCCAGTTCGATTCCGGGTTGGGTCATATTTCCTCCTGCAATTGCCTTTCTTTTTCACCCTTAAGCCCAAAATCATAGTGTGTATTGGGCTTAAGAGGAGGGTAAAGAAGACCTGGTGGTGAATGTCATACCCACTTTCCTTAAACAGTACACCAGAGAGATAAGTGGGAGACCCCAGTTCGATTCCCAGTCAGGTCATGGTTCTGCCTGCGCTTTCTTTTCTTCCTTCTGCTTTTCATTTAAGAAACAATGTTGTGTGTATTGAGCTTCACAGGAGGGTTAAGAAGACCTGGTGGTGAATGGCTCACACCCACTCTCCTTGCAATATCTGCGGGAAATGTGAAGTGGGAGCTCCCTGGTTCGATTCTTGGTTGGGTCATGACTTTCTGCAATTGTGTTTCTTTTCTGCCTTCAGTTTTGCATTTCAAGGGAAAAAAACTGTTCTACGTCGCCGGTTGGATGTAGGGTGGGAGCACCCGGTTTGATTCCGGACTAGGTCATGCACTATCTGACTCGACCTCTTTTTCTCATTTCAAGAAAAAAATGTTGTGTTTGTATTGATCTAAGAACAAGTTGACAAAGACCTGCTGATGAATGGTTCACACCCACTCTCCGTCGCCAATTACCGTCAGATGCAAGATAGGAGTACTCAGTTCGGTTCTGGGTCAGGTCATATTTCTTCTCTTGCGCATTTTTTTTCTCTCATTCTGCACAAAAATGCGCGGGGTATTGGACCTAAGAACAGGGTAAAGAAGACCTAGTGGTGAATGGTTCACACCCACTTCCCTTGTTCGCTATCCTGAGGAAAATGTAAGGTGGGGAGTCCCCGGTTCGATTCCGGGTCGGGTCATAACCAGTCTGCACTCACCTGTTTTTTCTCCCTCACTTCCCCTTCTTTCTCCCTCCGCACACTCCTCTGAGGCTTTTATGAAGAATTTTACCGTGCTTCGGGTACATAAGGGGGGGCGCATCACCGTCACATCACCCATCGCGTCAGCGTACGTCTTCTACGAGCACTTTTTCTTTCTCAATTTGCACTAAAAATCATAATGTGTATTGGCCCTAGGAAGGAAGGAAGGAAGACCTGGTGGTGAATGGATCACACCCACTTTCCTTAGTTGTCTTCTGTCAGCCGGTTGGATGTAAGGTGGGAGTCCCCGGTTCGATTCCGGGTCAGGTCATTGAGCTTTTGCTTCCTTTTTTCACCTTTGGTAAAAGAAAAGTGGGGTTTGTTGGGAGACCAGAAGGAAGGAGGAGGAAATGGTGGTGAATGGATCATACCCACACTCACCTTCTTTTGGTCTCCAGAGTATATGAAGTGGGAGTCCTGGTTCAATTCCGGGGCAGGTCATAGGTGGTCACTCAAGGTTTTGTTGTCTTTCCAGTCAAAAAAGTGTGGGGTGTGTTCAGCTTAGAACAGGGTAAGGAAGACCTGGTGGTGAATGGTTCACACTCACTCTCATTGTATTCTGCCGAAATAAATGAAGTGCGAGTTCCCGGTTCAATTCCGGGTCAGGTCATATGTCATAATGTCTGCGATGACACTTTGTTTGCTTCCTTCTGTTTTTTATTTCAAGAAGAAATGTTGTGTGTATTGGGCCTACGAATAGAGTAAGGAAGATCTGGCGGTGAATGGTTCACACCCACCCTTCTTGATAATGAGGAAACAAAGATCCAAGGTGGGAGTTCCGGTTCGATTCCGGGTCAGGTCATTCACTGCTAGATTCCAAGCTCTTTTTATCAGCTTTGAGCCAAAAAAGTGGTGTGTATTGAGCCTAAGAACAAGGTAAGGAAGACCTGGTGGTGAATGGATCACACCCACTTTCCTTAGTTGTCTTCTGTCAGCCGGTTGGATGTAAGGTGGGAGTCCCCGGTTCGATTCCGGGTCAGGTCATAGCCAGTCTACATTGCTTTTTTTTTTTTCACATTTGGTAAAAGAAAGTTGGGCTTTATTGAGAGACCAGAAGGAAGGAGGAAGACCTGGTGGTGAATGGTTCACACCCACCCTTCTTAAAGGTTTGCAGCATGTCAGATGGGAGGCCCCGGTTCGATTCTGGGCTAGGACATTCTTCATTGTGGTGGGATTTTTTTCTCCCTTCTGTTTTGCATTTCAAGCCCCAAAAGGCGGGTTAATTGAGCCTAAGGACAGGGTAAAGAAGACCTGGTGGTGAATGGTTCACACCCACTTTCCTTAAAAATAGCGAAACCGCCTTAAGATGCAAGTGAGAGAGCCGGTTTGATTCCGGGCTGGGTATCCCCTTCTGCAATTGCGTGTTTTTTCAGTCTTTGCTTTTTCACTTCAAGAAAAAGTGTTGGGGGTTCATTGAGCTTCACAGGAGGGTAAAGAAGACCTGGTGGTGAATGGTTCACACCCACTTTCCTTAATTGTGTTCCATTGGATGTAAGGTGGGAGTACTCGGTTCGATTCCGGGCTGGGTCGTAAGTTAAATATGCCACCCTTTTTTTTCTGCCTTCTGTTTTTCATTTGAGCCAAGGAATTACGCTATGTATTGAGCTTAAGAAGGGATCTAGGAAGACCTGCTGGTGAATGGATCACACCCACTTTCCTTTCGCAGTTACACCAGTAAAATTATACGGTGGGAGTTACTCGGTTCGATTCCGGGTCAGGTCATAGTTCTGCCATATATCACATTTTTTTATTTCCTCTTGTTTTCATTTCAAGTGAAATGCTGTGTGTGTATTGAACTTTGCAGGAGGGTAAAGCAGACCTGGTGGTGAATGGTTCATATCCACAGACCTACCTAAGGTGGAAGTACTACTCGGTTCGATTCCGGGCCAGGTTATAAGGCCTAAGGCGTGGTGTGTTTGCTTCCTTCTGTTTTTCATGTCAAGAAAATGTTGTGGGTTTATTGGGTCTGAAAACAGTGTAAATGAGACCTGGTGGTGAATGGATCACACCCACCCTCCTTTAGCCGTTGCACATATGGAAAGTGGGAGAGCCGGTTCGATTCCGGGGCAGGCCATACAGCGGCGATAGCATTCTTTTTCTTCCTTCCGTTTTTCACTTCAAGAAAAATCATAGTGTGTATTGGGCCCAAGAACGGGGTAATAAGACCTGACCTGGTGGTGAATGGTTCACATCCACTTTCCTTAGCCATTCAATAGTGTCGCACCTCTAAAGTGAGAGTACCCGGTTCGATTCCGGGTCAGGTTGTGGAGCTGCACTATCTGCTTGACTTCTTTTTTCACCCTTAGTGTGGTGTGTATTGAGTGTAGGTGCAGGGTAAAGAACACCTGGTTGTGAACGATTACCCACCCTCCTTTATTTGCTCACAACGGTGTAAGGTAGGAGCACCCGGTTCCGGGTTAGGTCATAATTGTTGAACTTAGCATTTCTTTTTTCACTGCAGTCAAAAAAGTGTGGAGTGTGTTCAACTTAGAAAGGGTATGAGGAAGCCCTGTGGTGAATGGTTCACACTCACTCTCATTGTATTCTGCCGAAATAAATGAAGTGCGAGTTCCCGGTTCAATTCCGGGTCAGGTCATATGTCTGCGATGACAATTTTTTTGCTTCTTTCTGTTTTTCATTTCAAGACAAAATGTTGTGTGTATTAAGGCCAAGAACAGGCTTAAGAAGACCTGGTGGTGAATGGTTCACACCCACCCTCCTTGCCCAATCCTCAGTGTATCAAAAGTGGGAGTCCTAGGTTCGATTCTGAGCTGGGTCATAATTGTTCAGTCTTGAGGTCTTTTTTTTCTGCCTTCTGTTTTTCATTACAAGATGGTGTGTGTATTGGGCCTCAGAACAGAGGTAAGAAGACCTGGTGGTGAATGGTTCACACCCACCCTCATTGTTATGTTGCCAAGGCTGTGAGGTGGGAGCACTCGGTTCGATTCCGGGCTAGGTCATACACTCAGTGGGTTTTTTTTCTGCCTTCTGTTTTTCATTTCAAGAAAGAATGTTGTGGGTTTATTGGGTCTGAAAACAGAGGAAAAAAGACCTGCTGGTGAATGGTTCACACCCACCCTCCTTTATTCTGCTGACGCTGTAAGGCAGGAGTCCCCGGTTCGATTCCGGGTTGGGTCAGACACCTGGCTCTACATCTCTTTTTTACCTTTGAGCCAGAAATCATGATGTGTTTATTAGACCTAAGAACAGGATTAAGAGGACCTAGTGGTGAATGGTTCACACCCACCCTCCTTCCGTATTCTCTCTCCGGTGTAAAGGTGGGAGCACTGAAACATGCTGTGTATTGGGCCCAATAACAGGGTTAAGAAGACCTGGTGGTGAATGGATCACACCCACCCTTCTTATGTGCTCGCTGATATTGTGAGGTGGGAGCTCCCGGTTCGATTCCGGGTCAGGTCATAGATTGTTGAACTTGGCATTTTGTTTTTCATTCCAGTCAAAAAAGTGTGAAGTGTGTTCAGCTCAGAAATAGTAGGTAGGAAGACCTGGTGGTGAATAATTACCCACCCTCCTTGATTTGCTCACAATGGTGTAAGGTAGGAGCACCCGGTTCCGGGTTAGGTCATAATTGTTAAACTTAGCATTTCTTTTTTCACTGCAGTCAAAAAAAGTGTGGAGTGTGTTAAACTTAGAAAGGGTATGAGGAAGACCTGGTGGTGAATGGTTCACACCCACCCTTCCTGTGTGTGTATTCTTCTCAAAATGTGAAGTGGGAGTACTTGGTTCAATTCTGGGTCAGGTCATATGTCTGCGTTGACAATTTTTTTGCCTCCTTCTGTTTCAAGAACAATGTTTGGTGTGTATTGGACCTGAGAAGCAGTGTTAAGAAGACCTGTGGTGAATGGTTCACACCCACCTTCCTTTATTCTGCAGTCAATGTCAGGTGGGAGAGCCGGTTCGATTCCAGGCTAGGTCATTGCTTGTGAGCTTCTGCTTTTTTTCCCCATTACCACAGAGTGTATTGGGCTTAAGGACAGAGGTAAGAAGACCTGGTGGTGAATGGTTCACACCCACCTTTACTTTCTGGGCAAAGTATATGAAGTGGGAGTCCCCGGTTCGATTCCGGGTCAGGTCATATTTCCTCCTGCTGACGTGTTTTTCCACTTTTGACCCAGAAATCATAGTGTGTATTGAGGCTAGAAGGGTTGTAGGAAGACCTGGTAGTGAATGGATCACACCTACCCTCTTTGGCCCATGCTCAGAGAATAAAAAGTGGGAAACCTCGGTTCGATTCCGGGCTAGGTCATAAATGCGCTATAAAAGCCTGGTTTTTTTGTCTTCCTCCTTTTTCTCATCCAGCACAAAGGTTGGGGTGTATTGGGCCTGAGAACGAGGAAAGAAAAACCTGGTGGTGAATTGTTCACACCCACTTTCCATGAAAGGTCGGCCAGGATATGTAAGGTGGGAGCACCCGGTTCGATTCCGGGTCAAGTCATTTGCGCTATCTGGTTTCATCCTTTTTTCTCGTTCAGTACTCTACCTTGTTTTTTCTCGGTTTGTGCTAAAAAAACAGGGTGTATTGGGCTTAAGAGGAGGGTCAGGAAGACCTGGTGGCGAATGGTTCACACCCACTCTCCTTACCCAGCTCGTGATATATAAGGTAGGAATCCCGGTTCGATTCTGGGTTGGGTCATGACTTTCTGCAATTGTGTTTCTTTTCTGCCTTCAGTTTTGCATTTCAAGAAAAAAAAATTGTGGTTGTCAAGCTTAAGAACGGGGCAAGGAAGACCTGGTGGTGAATGGTTCACACCCACCCTTCTTAAATAGGCGGCAATATTGTACGGTGGGAGTACTCGGTTCGATTCCGGGTTGGGTCATTGTGCCCTAGCTCCTGTTTTGTTCACCTTTGAGCCAGAATTGTAGTATGTATTGAAGCTAAGACCAGGGTTAAGAAGACCTGGTTATGAATGGTTCACACCCACCCTGCTTTCGCAGTTGCACATGTAATATGTACGTAAGGTGGGGAAACCCGGTTCGATTCCGGGTCAGGTCATAGTTCTGCCATATATCACATTTTTTTATTTCCTCTTGTTTTCATTTCAAGTGAAATGTTGTGTGTGTATTGAACTTTGCAGGAGGGTAAAGCAGACCTGGTGGTGGATGGTTCACACCCACCCTTCTTAACTGTCTTCCAAATATAGGAAGTGGGAGTACTCGGTTCGATTCCGGGTTGGGTCATGATTATTGTCCATGACCGTTTTTTTTCTGCCTTCTGTTTTTCATTTGAGCCAGAAATTATGCTGTGTATTGAGCTTAAGAAGGGATTTAGGAAGACCTGCTGGTGACTGGTTCACACCCACTTCCTTTTGATTCCAAGTTCGGTACCTGTACAGTGGGAGAGCCGGTTCGATTCCAGGTCAGGTCATGAGCCGGTCCCCTAATTTTTTGGCCTTTCCTTAAGTCAAAGAAATGTTGTGTCAGAGCTGAGACTAGTGTAAAGAAGACCTGGTAGTGAATGGTTCACACCCACCCTCTTTAAACAATGGACAAATATGTTGGTGGGAGTACTCGGTTCGATTCCGGGTTGGGTCATTATGTGTTGAATTCCTCCTTTTTACTTGACTGGGTCCAAAAAAAAAGGGTGTGTGTATTGAGCCCAAGAACAGGGATGAGAAGACCTAGTGGTGAATGATTCACATCCACTCTGCGGTAAATGTGAGGTGGGAGTACTTGGTTCGATTCCGGGTCAGGTCATCACTCTTCAGCATCGATGTTTTTTCTTTCTTTCTTCTGTTTTTCACCTTTAAGCTGAAAATCAAGTGGGTTTGCTGGCCTAAAGAACGGGCCAAGGAAGACCTGGTGGTGAATGGTTCACGCCCACCCTCCTTGCGCAAATTCCTCTTCTGTCAGATGTAAGGTGGGAGAGCCGGTTCGATTCCGGGTCAGGTCATTAGGTCCTGCTGCCGTGTTTTTCCACTTTTGATCCAGAAATCATAGTGTTTATTGGACCTGAGAACAGACGTAGGAAGCCCTGGTGGTAAATGGTTCACACCTACCCTCCTTACAATGTTGGCAGAACGGGATGTAAGGTGGGAGTACTCAGTTCGATTCCGGGCCAGGTCATTCGTCTTCTACCTGCGATTTCTTTTTGAGAAATTGAAATTTTGTGTGAAAATATTGTGTGTATTGAGGTCAAGAACAGGCTTAAGAAGACCTGCTGGTGAATGGTTCACACCCACTCTCCCTTGCAGGCCAACGTCATAAAGTGGGAGGACTCGGTTCGATTCCGGAACAGGTCATAGGCTCGTAGCTGCGTGCATGTTTTTTCTTTGTACTGTTCTTCATTACAAGAAAAATGTTGTATGTATTGGACCTAAGAACAGGGTAAGGAAGACCTGGTGGTGGATGGTTCACACCCACTTCCTTTGGATTCCAAGTTCGGTACCTGCACAGTGGGAGAGCCCGGTTCGATTCCGGCTCAGGTCATGGGTGAACTCAGCCATTCCTTTTTTTGTTCGTCTTTAAGCCATAAATCATGGTGTGTGTTGAACCTAAGAACGGAGGTAGGAAGACCTGCTGGTGAATGGTTCACACCCACTTTCTTTAGCAACCAGTAACAAATGTAAGGTGGGAGTCCCCGGTTCGATTCCGGGCCAGGTCATGAGCTCCAGGATTTCATCCTTTTTTTCTCGTTTGGCATGAACAAGCTGGGTATTTATTGGGGTGAAACCAGGGTAAAGAAGACCTGGTGGTGGATGGCTCACACCCACTTTCTTTAAACGGTACACCAGAGAGATAAGGTGGGAGTTCCCGGTTCAATTCCGGGGCGGTTATCCATTTCTTTTTCACCCTTTGAGTTCAAAGAAATGTTGTGTATTAGACCTAGGAATGGATTTATGAAGACCTGGTGGTGAATGGTTCACATCCACCCTCCTTACAAAGTCCCAATGCATGTGAGATGGAAATCCCGGTTCGATTCCGGGTCAGGTCACTAGTAGCTCCTGCTGCCGTGTTTTTCCACTTTTGACCCAGAAATCATAGTGTGTATTGGGCCCACGAACAGACGTAAGAAGACTTGGTGGTGAATGGATCACACCCACCCTCCTTTCCAGGTTTTGTATTTGTACAGTGGGAGAGCCCGGTTCGATTCCGGGCCAGGTCATAAATGCGCTACAAAAGCCTATTTTTTTTATCTTCCTTCCTTTTCTCATTCAGCACAAAAACAGGTGGGTTAATTAAACCTAAGAACAGGTATTGGGAAGACCTGGTAGTGCATAGTTCACCCCCACCCTTCTTTTGTGGACTTCTGTTTTTTTTTGCTTGCTTCTGTTTTCATTTTAAGAAAATTGTCGTGGGTTTATTGGACCTATGAAGAAAGGTAGGAAGACCTGGTGGTGAATGGATCACATCCACCCCCATTGAGCTGTTGCCCCATAGGATGTGAGGTGGGAGTACTCGGTTCGATTCCGGGCTAGGTCATAAATCTTCAGTGACACCTCTTTTTTTTCCTTCCTCACTGGTTGGGAGATTCAAGTTTTTCAGCACAATTTACAGTGAAAAATGTCGTTTGTTTTTCAGACATTTTTCACTGAAAAAGTAGGTAAAAAACTTAAATCATTTTCACTATTTTTCGAGCTTGAGGTAAAAAATTCAAAAGAAAGGCAAAAAGTGGTGAGAATTATTTAAATTTTTCACCTTTTTTTTCACTAAAAGATGTCTGAAAACCCAATGACATTTTTCACCGCAAATTGTGCTGAAAAATTTGAATCTCCCAACCAGTGCCTTCTGTTTTTCCTTTCGAGAAAAAATGTTGTGTGTATTGGGCCTACGAACGGGGTAAAGAAGACCTGGTGGTGAATCACTGTGTTAAGTGACTGGGTCGGCAGAGGTGCCGACGTCTGACGACCTCTGTCGATCATGGGAAACACAGTCTGCCGAGGGTGATCGGCACAGCCTTTGTCGATGCCTACCATAATCGGCACAGGGTCATCAGATGTCGGCAACGTCTGCGGACACGGCCGCTTAACGCAGTGAATGGTTTACACTCGCCCTGCTTGACCGTTCCATCTAGAAGGTAAGGCGGGTTCAATTCCGAGTTGGGTTATAGATAAGCCTTGCCAATCCTTTTCTTTCTCAGAAATTATAATGTGTATTGGGCCTAAGAACAGGGTTGAGAAGGCCTGCTGGTGAATCGTTCACATCCACCCTCCTTACAAAGTCCCAATGCATGTGAGATGGAAATCCCGGTTCAATTCCGGGCTAGGACATTCTTTATTGTGGTGGGATTTTTTTCTCCCATCTGTTTTGCATTTCAAGCCCCAAAAGGCGAGTTAATTGAGCCTAAGGACAGGGTAAAGCAGACCTGATGGTGAATGGTTCACACCCACTTCCTTTGGTTTTCCATCATCAGCACTTGTACAGCGGGAGTTCCCGGTTCGATTCCGGGCCAGGTCGTGTTTCTGCATCAAATGCCCTTTTTTCATTTGAGCCAGAAAGTATGGGGTTTATCAAGTGCAAGAACATAGGTGAAGAAGACCTGGTGGTGAATGGTTTACACTCACCCTGCTTGACCGTTCCATCTAGAAGGTAAGGCGGGTTCAATTCCGAGTTGGGTTATAGATAAGCCTTGCCAATCCTTTTCTTTCTCAGAAATTATAATGTATTGGGCCTAAGAACAGGGTTGAGAAGACCTGCTGGTGAATGGTTCACATCCACCCTCCTTACAAAGTCCCAATGCATGTGAGATGGAGCTCCCGGTTCGATTCCGCGGCAGGTCATTATGCTCTGTAATGCTGTTCTTCTTATTCACCTTTTAAGCACATTTGAGCCAGATATCATACTGTGCATTGTACCAAAGATGGGTATCCTTTGAACTCCAAGTTCGGTATTTGTACAGTGGGAGAACCTGGTTCAATTCCAGAGCAGGTCATTCCTTGGTTATCCATCCTCTTTTGTTTTTATTTGGCACCAACGAGTGTGGCTAGTTGACCCTAAGAACAGGTGTAAGCAAGACCTGGTGGTGGATGGTTCACACCTACCCTCTGTTTGCCATCTGTGGAAATAAGGCAGGAGTCCCGGTTCGATTCCAGGCCAGGTCATTGGTAGGCTGCACTGCACCTTTTTTGCTCTAAATCAGAAATTATAATGTGTGTTAGGCCCAGGACAAGAGGTAAGAAGACATTTTTATCACCTTTGAGCCAGAAATCAAGGTGTGTGTTAAGCCTAGGAATGAATAGAGGAAGACCTGGTGGTGAATAGTTCACACCTACCCTCTGTTTGCCATCTGTGGAAATAAGGCAGGAGTCCCCGGTTCGATTCCGGGTCAGGTCATGAGTAAATTCTGCTAATCCTTTTTTTGTTCGTCTTTAAGCCCAAAATCATAGTGTGTATTGAACCTGAGAACAGGGTCAGGAAGACCTGGTGGTGAATGGTTCACACCCACTTCCTTTCCAGATTTTGTATTTGTACAGTGGGAGAACCTGGTTCGATTCCGGGCTAGGTCATTAGCAGCTCCTGCTGCTGTTTTTTTTCCACTTTTGATCCAGAAATCATAGTGTGTATTGGGCCTAGGAACAGTGTAAAGAAGACCTGGTGGTGGATAGATCACACCCACTTTCCTTACCATTGTACCGTCGCAAAATAAAGTGGGAGTCCCCGGTTCGATTCCGGGTCAGGTCATTAGCTCCTGTTGCTGTGTTTTTCCACTTTTGATCCAGAAATCATAGTGTTTATTGGACCTAAGGACCGGGGAAAGAAGACCTGGTGGTGGATGGATCACACCCACTTCCCTTGCGCCATTGCCCCGTCGGATGTAAGATGGGAGCTCCCGGTTTGATTCCGGGTCAGGTCATGAGTGAACTCCAATCCTTTTTTCCCACTTTTGAGTATCGGGGCAGAACAGGGTTATGAAGAGCTGGTGGTGAACGGTTCACACCTACCCTCCTTAGGCTCCAATCAAGGATGTGAGGTGGGGATTCTTGGTTCGATTCTGGGACAGGTCATAACTGCCCAGCACTGCTGTTTTTTTCTTCCTTCTGTTTCAAGAACAATGTTTGGTGTGTGTTGAGCCTAAGAGGAGGTTTAAGAAGACCTGGTGGTGAATGGTTCACCTCCGCTTTCCTTTCAGATGCCCTAGCATGTAAGGTGGGAGTCCCGGTTCGATTCCAGGCTAGGTCATACAAAATCTACGAACACCTTTTTTTCTCAATTTGCACTAAAAACCATAATGTGTATTCGGCCTAAGAAGTGGAGTAGGAAGACCTGCTGGTGAATGGTTCACACCCACCCTCCTTGCGCAAATTCCTCTTCTGTCAGATGTAAGGTGGGAGAGCCGGTTCGATTCCGGGTCAAGTCATTCATCTTCATGAGTGGTCCTTTTTTCCCCCTCTCTCGGGCCAAAAAAGTTCAGGATACATATTTCAGCACAGCTCTCCGGCGGGTCAGGTCATTGATCTGCCTGCATTTTCTTTCTTTCCTTTGGTTTTTCATTTCAAGAAAAATGTTGTGTGTATCGGACCTGAGAACAGGGTAAGGAAGACCTGGTGGTGAATGGTTCACACCCAGCCTTTCTTTGGATCCAATGAATAGGTGTATGGTGGGAGTACCTGGTTCAATTCCGGGACAGGTCATAAATCCTCTTGACTTACATTTTCTTTTTCTCTAAAACAGGTGTTACAGGAAAAAATGTTGTTTGTGTATCAAGCTCAAAAATAGGGTAAGGAAGACCTGCTGGTGAATGGATCACACCCACTTTCCTTTACTCTGCGATAGATGTGAGGTGGGAGTCCCCGGTTCGATTCCGGGCCAGGTTGTGTTTCTGCATCAAATGCCCTTTTTTCATTTGAGCCAGAAAGTATGGGGTTTATCAAGTGCAAGAACAGAGGTGAAGAAGATCTGGTGGTGAATGGTTCACATCCACCCTCCTTTCGCAGGTACACCAGTAAAATTATACAGTGGGAGTCCTGGTTCGATTCTGGGGCAGGTCATTATGCTTTGCCGCCGTTTTGTTCACCTTTGAGTCAGAATTGTATGTGTATTGAAGCTAAGAACAGAGTAAGAAAGACCTGGTGGTGAATGGATTACACCTACCCTCCTTCGCCTTCCAACCTCTTGTAAGGTGGGAATTCCCGGTTCGATTCCGGGCTGGGTCATTATGTGTTGAAATTCTCATTTTCTTTTCTTGTTTAGCGCCAAAAGAATGCTGTGTATTGGGTGTAAGGACGGGGTGCGGGAGACTTGGTGGTGAATGGTTCACATCCACCCTCCTTACAAAGTCCCAATGCATGTGAGATGGAAATCCCGGTTCAATTCCGGGTCAGGTCATTAGTAGCTCCTGCTGCCGTGTTTTTCCACTTTTGAGCCATAAATCATAGTGTGTGTTGAACCTAAGAACAGGGTAAGGAAGACCTGGTGGTGAATGGTTCACACCCACCTTTACTTTCTGGGCAAAGTACATGAAGTGGGAGTACCCGGTTCGATTCCGGGTCAGGTCATAGGTGGCTATCCACTGCTTTTTCATCTAAATCTTTCCAGTCAAAAACTGTTGTGTGTATTAGACCTAAGCATAGGGTTAAGAAGACGTGCTGGTGAATGGTTCACACCTACCCTCCTTTGCATCTTTTCATCGTCAATGTCGTAAGGTGGGAGTACCTGGTTCGATTCCGGGTTGGGTCATAACTCTTCAGCATCAATGTTTTTTCTTTCTTTCTTCTGTTTTTCTCATTTAGCGCCAAAATATTGTGTGTTTATTGGACCTAAGAATAGGGTTAAGAAGACCTGGTGGTGAATGGATCACACCCACTTTCATTTAACCAGGAGGATAAAATACGGTGGGAGTCCCCGGTTCGATTCCGGGGCAGGTCCTAGCATCGTCTGCCATGTTTTTTTTGCTCTCATTCAAGCCAAAGTAGTTGAGTTTAATATGTGGAAGAACAAAGGTAAGGAAGACCTGGTGGTGGATGGATCACACCCACTTTCCCTCACTCTTTATCAATTGTACAGTAGGAGATCCCGGTTCGATTCCGGACTAGGTCATAACTCGTCATCCATTTCTTTTTTTCTTCCTTGCCAACCAAAATTGTGGTGTGTATGGGGCCTAAGAACAGGCTCAGGAAGACCTGGTGGTGAATGGTTCACACCCACCCTTAATGACCAGCCATGCGACATAAGATGGGAGTTCCAGGTTCGATTCCGGGTCAGGTCATGGTAGTAATCTGTGCCTCTTTTTCTTGAGATTCAGCACAAAGAAGGGTGTGTATTGAAGCTAAGAACAGGATTAAGGAGACCTGGTGGTGAATGGTTCGCACCTATCCTCCTTAAGCCCCAGTGAAAACGACGGGCAGCCAGATCGAGCCACGTCGAACCATATCGAACTATTTTAGGGGAGTCTCATCTGGTTCGCAGATTGAGCCAGGGCTCGATCTAGTTCTACAAAATGTTGCGACACGTCGAGCCAAATCAAGCGGTATTTAGAACTGCGTCGAGCGAAAGAAATTCATATTGAACTACGCTACACTTGGGCATGCTGCTGCAAAATTGGGACCGTACCGTACAGCCGTACTGGCCGCGCCCCTCGGCCTCCATCCACGCGCTCCGCTACCCGGACTTGTTCCCGATCTCGGGTGCTGCTGGACTCGATGCCCAGTGAGCTTGATGGTGGCGGCACAGTGTCGGGAGCCCTCCAGAAATATGTTAGTCACTTCAGTCGCGGCAGGGATGGAAGAAAATTGTACGGATGTGGGGACTGTGCTTCGATGTGAGCAATTCATCCATGGGCGGGGTGCAGGTCTACGAGGGAAGCATATCGTCAATCGAGAGCCTGCACGTCGAATGCGGACTCACTGGAGGAGATACAGTGCAAATAAGAGAGTATCTAAAAGTTGTGAGCTTGCCCACTGTCGACACGTTTGAGCACTGGAAGATCGCACGAAGTTAGCACACGGAGACTTGAGAAAAGGAGACTTACCGGTCGGGACAAGTACGTACTGGCGAAGGTGAGCTGCAATGACGGTCATTATGCAGCAATAGAAGTGTTTCAGATGATATACCTTATTGTCGATTGACAAGACGGCGCTGGCCGCCAGCTGGGATCCCCTATCATGTACGACAAAGAAAGACAGAGGGTAGATTATCAGCGGGAGTGCAAACACAAAAAAAGCATGGTGTATTGGAGCTGAAAACAGGCTCAGGAGGACCTGCTGGTGAATGGTTCACACCCACCCTCATTTAATCATGATTGTTGACGTTGTGAGGTGGGAGTACTCGGTTCGATTCCGGTCAGGTCATGGTTCTTCGACCTCTATGTTGTTTTTTTCTCAATTGAGCCTGAAATCATGGAGTGTATTGGGCCTCAGAACGGGGTAAGGAAGACCTGGTGGTGAATGGTTCATACCCACCCTCTTTCATAGATCACAAGATGTGAGGTGGGAGTTCCTGGTTCGATTCCGGGTCGGGTCATAGCCATGCTTCCTGCGTCCTTTTTTCCACATTCAGCACAAAAAAGTGTGCGATGTGTTCAGTTTAGATAGGGTATGAGGAAGACCTGGTGGTGAATGGATCACACCCACCCTTCTTAAAAGTTTGCAGCATGTAAGGTGGGAGTCCCCGGTTCGATTCCGGGCCAGGTCATGAGCTCCAGGATTTCATCCTTTTTTTCTCGTTTGGCATGAACAAGCTGGGCATTTATTGGGGTGAAACCAGGGTAAAGAAGACCTGGTGGTGGATGGCTCACACCCACTTTCTTTAAACGGTACACCAGAGAGATAAGGTGGGAGCTCCCGGTTCAATTCCGGGGTAGGTCATAGGCGGTTATCCATTTCTTTTTCACCCTTTGAGTTCAAAGAAATGTTGTGTACTAGACCTAGGAATGGATTCATGAAGACCTGGTGGTGAATGGTTCACATCCACCCTCCTTACAAAGTCCCAATGCATGTGAGATGGAAATCCCGGTTCGATTCCGGGTCAGGTTGTGGCGCTGCACTATCTGCTTGACTTCTTTTTTCACCCTTAGTGTGGCGTGTATTGAGTGTAGGTGCAGGGTAAAGAAGACCTGGTTGTGAATGATTACCCACCCTCCTTTATTTGCTCACAACAGTGTAAGGTAGGAGCACCCGGTTCCGGGTTAGGTCATAATTGTTGAACTTAGCATTTCTTTTTTCACTGCAGTCAAAAAAGTGTGGAGTGTGTTCAACTTAGAAAGGGTATGAGGAAGACCTGGTGGTGAATGGTTCACACCCACTTCCTTTGGTTTTCCATCATCAGCACTTGTACAGCGGGAGTTCCCGGTTCGATTCCGGGTCAGGTCATTCATCTTGTGTCTCGGACTTCTTTTTTCTCATTTAGCACTGAAACTATGGTGTGTATTGGACCAAAGATGGGTATTAGGAAGACCTGGTGGTGGCTGGTTCACACCCACCCTCTTTGAGTGATGTTAGGAGTAAAAAGTGGGAGAGCCGGTGAAACGGGCAAGATGCGCTGGCTACGGAATGGGCTGAACTAAGCTCTGAATGCGGGCTAGCTGAACAACTAACACACCACACACAAAACACACACACACACCAACCCAATCCTATCTAAACTGACTCACGGGGGACGTAGCGCGTCTTCCTCGATGAGTTCGGGTCCTGAGTCGTAGTATGCGACTGCGGATCTGATGTCTAGAGCACGTAAGTTGTTCTATGCGTTCAAAACGTCTCAAAATGCAGCGTCTAGACGCTAGTTGGCTTGGCTGCTTGGCTTCTAAACAAGACTTCCAGGGAAGGATGTACAGGTTTATATATAAAGGATTGTTACTAGGAATCGCACCGAAGTACAGGTGCCTAGGCGAGGAGGTGTAGATTTGGACTGAAAATCCCGTTCAAGGGCTATGCTGCTTCGTCTAGACGGCCTCTGGTGCACAGCTAGCCTCTCGAGAACTAGCGGCAGACTCGGACTCCTTTGAATCCAAGATCTTTTCCGTACACTTGAGTTTATTAAGGACCTCAAAGTACTATCCAACAAAGCTAAACGACCGGTGGTTGTCCCAGGGCTCTCCCAAAGTGCTGTGCCGGGCGTGGTCGGTTTTAGCGAGGCGTTTCCTGGTCACCCAATGCGGATGCCCTGCTAGAGTCCACTCGCGACGCTTAGTGCAGTTCTCAAGCCTTCTGATGTGCGTGCGGTCCTGATTTATACGTGGAGGCAGTCGCCGCTCACGACCTCCCAACGCGAAGCTTTGCTTATAGGTTCACACAAATGTTCTGGATCCAACAAGCAACACTGCGATTTTATAGACTACTGTTACACAGAGAGAGATGGTACTGTAATCTCCGCTAAGTGGCCTGAGCACACCTGAATTGTCATAACGATGAGCGGGGCATACACTGGTCTGTTGCGGTATTTTATGAGGCTTTATATACGATTCTGAGAGAAAGAGATGAGGTAAAGAGAAATGAGTAAAACAGGCCGATGTTCTGGTCATGCGATCATCCTCGGAAGGCTAACCGGGTCTATGCTGGCTCTGGGCTTGCCAGAAAGTCATATAGATGACGATCTTGGGGGCCCAGTTCGGGTATATGGCCAGTTCGGGTCGTCTAGACAGCTCCCGAACCTTGTAATTTGCAAAACTCTGTCCCCCGACGCCGGACTGCTCACCAATCCGCTCGTATACCCCGATAGCTCACGGACTAGACATATATACGTCTACCCATGGCTACATCTCAACAAGAACTCCTTCATCATGTTTGTGCTTGTGGCGCTCCAACACTGACCGCGTCGTGTTGGTCACCTGACTGGCTAGAGGGGCACTTTAGGGCGACCCCTCCTTATATCCCTAAGCTCCTTGCACTGTCTAGACGCGGTACTTTGCCGTCTAGACCACCTATAGAGTCGTTCTATGCTCGTCTAGACGCCTGTAGCTTAGTGCACCGACTCGTCTAGACAGACCCTATATCATGTTGCTTGCTCTGCTAGTGAAGACTATGGCTTTCCTGTGCAGTCGTTGGTTCCTTTGATAGGGTAATTGACATTCTGAGGTACTAGACCCCGTATAGACCTCCTTGATATGTGTACTTCGCACAGTGTAACGCTTGTAACCGCGCCTAGCACTGTACTAATACTACAGCCAGCAGCCGGAGCTCACTCTGACTCTCCTTTGTACCACCGAACAGAGTTCTAGTAGGTATATTGACCCGTCTAGACGGCTGTATTATTACTTAGTAGCGTCTAGACAGACTATTGCTAAAAAGCGCAAATAATAGCCAGATGGCAGCGTATTCAATGCCACGCCGTTTCACCGGTTCGATTCCAGGCTAGGTCATACAAAATCTACAAATACTTTTTTTTTGCTCATTTGAGCCAGAAATCATAGTGTGTATTGAACCTAGGAAGGGAGGTAGGAAGACCTGGTGGTGGATGGTTCACACTCACCGTTCTTGTGCACATTTTCTACTCATATAAGGTGGGGAGTCCTGGTTCGATTCCGGGTTGGGTCATAAATCCTCAGCAATAGCCTTTTTTTTCCTTCCATTTTCACTTCAAGAAAAAAGCAGAGTGTATTGGGCCTACGAACAGAGGTAAGAAAGACCTGCTGGTGAATGGTTCACACCACCCCCCTTAATTCCTCTTCTGTCGGATGTAAGGTGGGAGTCCCCGGTTCGATTCCGGGTCAGGTCATACACCATTGGCATAGCAGTTTTCTTTTTTTTGCATCTGTTTCTCATTTACACCAAAGAAAGTGTGATGTGTGTTGAGCCTAACAACAAGGAAAGGAAGGCCTGGTGGTGAATGGATTACACCCACCCTCCTTTATTCTGCCGACGCTGTGAGATGGGGAATCCCGGTTCGATTCCGGGTCAGGTCATGAGTGAACTCCAGTCCTTTTTTCCCACTTTTGAGTCTGAAATCATGGTGTGTATCGGGGCAGAACAGGGTAAGGAAGACCTGGTGGTGAATGGTTCACACCCACCCTCCTTGATCCATTTTCCGATGCATGGAAGGTGGGAAATCCAGGTTCGATCCTGGGTCAGGTCATGATGGATGCATCTTCACAATGCTTTTTTGTCTTCCTTCTTTTTCTTATTTGACACCCAAAGAAATGTTGTGTATTGAACCTAAGAACAGGGGTAGAAGAAGACCAGAAGACCTGGTGGTGAATGGTTCACACCCACTTTCCTTTACTCTGTACTCTGCAGTCAATGTGAGGTGGAGGTACTTGGTTCGATTCTGGGACAGGTCATTTGCGCTATCTAGTTCATCCTTTTTTCTCATTCAGTGCAAAAGATCATGGGATGTGTTGGACTTAAGAACAGGGTAAAGAAGACCTGGTGGTGAATGGTTCACACCCACCCTGCTTTCACAGTTGCACATGTAATATGTACATAAGGTGGGGAAACCCGGTTCGATTCCGGGCCAGGTCAGTGAACTCCTCCCATAACCTGTTTTTCACCTTTGAGCCAGAAATCGTGATGTGTTTATTGGACCTAAGAACAGGGTTAAGAAGACCTGGTGGTGAATGGTTCACGTCTGCTTTCCTCAAAAATTCTATGATCTAAACCTGGGAAACTCTGGTTCGATTCCGGGTCAGGTCATTCTTCCTCGGTATATCCCACAAGTTTTTGGACATTTGAGGCAAAAAATCGTCATCAAGCTCAAGTACTGGGTTAAGAAGACCTGGTGGTGAATGGTTCACACCCGCCCTCATTATACCTTTCTTCGATATAAGGTGGGAGTACCTGGTTCGATTCCGGGACAGGTCATCATTTATCTCCAGATGATCTTTTTTTCTCCCTTCTTCATTTGATTTAGAACTTGTGTTGTATATTGGAGCTAACAAGGGAGGGAGGAAGACCTGGTGGTAGATAGTCCATCCTCCTTGAAAGTTGTGGAATGTGAGGTGGGAGTACTTGGTTCGATTCCGGGTCAGGTCATTATTAGCTCCTGCAATTGCCTTTCTTTTTCACCCTCAAGCCCAAAATCATAGTGTATATTGGGCTTAAGAGGAGGGTAAAGAAGACCTGGTGGTGAATGGTTCACACCCACCCTCGTTTAGATACGGTCGAAAGATCCAAGGTGGGAGTACCGGTTCGATTCCGGGTCAGGTCATGCGTAAATTCTGTGAATCCTTTTTTTCTCCCACTTTTGAGTCTGAAATGATAGTGTCTGTATTGAGCTGAGAACAGAAGAAGAAAGACTGGGTGGCGAATGGTTCACACCCGCCCTCATTACAATATTTGCGGGGAATGGGATGTAAGGTGGGGAGTCCCCGGTTCGATTCCGGGTCAGGTCATGTTGAAGTTCGGTAGCATTTTTTTTTCTTTTGCTCATTTGGCACCAAAAAGTCTGGTTAATTGAGCTGAGAACAAAGTTAAGAAGCCCTGGTGTATGGGAAACCTCGATTCGATTCCGGGTCAGGTCACGGTTCTGCCTGCGCTTTCTTTTCTTCCTTCTGTTTTTATTTGAAGAAAGATGTTGTGTGTGTATTGAAGCTAAGAACAGGCTTAAGAAGACCTGGTGGTGAATGGTTCACACCCACCCTCCTTCGCCAATTACCTTCGGATGTAAGGTGGGAGTCCCCGGTTCGATTCCGGAACAGGTCATAATTCTATCGGGCTGGTTTTTTTGCTCACCTTTTAAGCCAAAAATCATAGTGTGTATTGGACCTGAGAACAGGGTCAGGAAGACCTGGTGGTGAATGGATCACACCCACCCTCGTTTAGATACGGTCGAAAGATCCAAGGTGGGAGTACCGGTTCGATTCTGGGCTGGGTATCCCCTTCTGCAATTGCGTGTTTTTTCAGTCATTGCTTTTTCACTTCAAGAAAAAGTGTTGTGTGTATTGGACCTGAGAACAGGGTAAGGAAGACCTGGTGGTGAATGGCTCATGCCCATCCTTCCTGTGTGTGTATTCTTCTCAAAATGTGAAGTGGGAGTACCCGGTTTGATTCCGGGTTGGGTCATATTTCCTCCTGCAATTGCCTTTCTTTTTCACCCTTAAGCCCAAAATCATAGTGTGCATTGGGCTTAAGAGGAGGGTAAAGAAGACCTGGTGGTGGATGGCTCACACCCACTTTCCTTAAACCTCCCATCAGATGTAAGGTGGGAGCTCCCGGTTCGATTCTGGGTCAGGTCATACTTAAACTCTGGACCAAGCCTTTTTTGTTCATTTTGAGGCAAAAAACTGTGTTGTTTATCAAGATTAAGCACTGGGTTAAGAAGATCTGGTAGTGAATAGTTCACACCCATCCTCCTTTACAGTGACACATATAACATGGAAAGTGGGAGAGCCGGTTCAATTCCGGGTTGGGTCATATTTCCTCCTGCAATTGCCTTTCTTTTTCACCCTTAAGCCCAAAATCATAGTGTCTATTGGGCTTAAGAGGAGGGTAATGAAGACCTGCTGGTGAATGGATCACACCCACCCCCATTGAAATAGCTGCAGGATGGGATGTAAGGTGGGAGTGCTCGGTTCGATTCCGGGTTAGGTCACAGGCGGTCATCCACTGCTTTTTCATCTAAATCTTTCCAGTCAAAAATGGGTGGTTTAATCGAGCTTAAGGACAAAGGTAAGGAAGACCTGCTGGTGAATGGTTCACACCCACTTTCCATGAAAGGACGCCAGGATATGTAAGGTGGGAGTACCCGGTTCGATTCCGGGTCAGGTCATTCATCTTGTGTCTCGGACTTCTTTTTTCTCATTTAGCACTGAAAACTATGGTGTGTATTGGACCAAAGATGGGTATTAGGAAGACCTGGTGGTGAATGGTTCACACCCACTTCCTTTGTTGACTGTCTATGTAAGGTGGGAGTCCCGGTTCAATTCCGGTTCAGGTCATATTCCAAAATGTTCGTCATTTTCTCATTTAGCACCAAAGATGCGAGGGGTATTGGGTGCAAGAACAGAGGTACAAAGACCTGCTGGTGAACGGATCACACCCACTTTCCATGAAAGTTCATAAGATGTAAGGTGGGAGCTCCCGGTTCGATTCCAGGTCACGTCATAGTTCGGCCATATCACACATTTTTTTACTTCCTCTTATTTATTTAACACCCAAATAAATGTTGCGTATTGAAGCTAAGAACAGAGGTAAGAAGACCGGGCGGTGAATGATTCATACCTCTCCATTTAAGTGGTCTTGGCAACATAACCAGTGGGAGTCCTGGTTCAATTCCGGGGCAGGTCTTACTTTAGCAGCGGGCATCTTTTTCTGCCTTCTGTTTTTCACTTCAAGGAAAATCATAGTGTTTATTGGGCCCAAGAACGGGGTTAAGAAGACCTGGTGGTAGATGGATCACACCCACTTTCCTTTCAGCTCTTCGTGCATACAAGGCGGGGAGTCCCGGTTCGATTCCGGAGCAGGTCATTCACATGCCTCTTGCATGCTTTTCTCTCTCTCTGCATTCGATGCCAAAAAGTGTGTTCTTTGTCAAGCTTAAGAAGGGAGGGAGGAAGACCTGGTGGTGAATGGATCACACCCACTCTCCTTACTAAATCACAATTCATAAGATGTGAGGTGGGAGTCCCCGGTTCGATTCCGGGGCAGGTCATAAGAGGCTGCTAGAGTGAGGCACGAGTATCGAATATCACGAATATTCGCGCCAAGCCATTCGCGAATTGCGAATATTCGTATTCGTGAATTGTGGTGGCAGTGCTATTCGTGCGAATGCGAATATCAGGTTTTGGAAAAGTTGATATTCGCGAATATTTGTCGGCTAATCCTAGGTTAATCACCGTAGAATAGAGCAACCTCGGATCAGAGAGAACCAACCATATCTTGGCAGATTCCCGAGTAATCTGTCCGTTTCAACCAAGCATAAGGGTCAACACTGTAATGAGGGTGGAAAACATGTTTTAAAGGCGGTGCAAAGTACATCTGATGGTATTGATCTCCGATCAAATATTGATGTGTTAAGTCAGTGGGGTTGTTCAGAGACTTAACGTGGACACATCTTCGGAGGAAGTACAAAAGTTAATTTGATGGTATTGATGGCTGATCAAATATTGATGTGTTAAGCCATTGAAATCGTTGAAATCGATCAGAGGCTTAACGTGGACCAGAAATTTGGTAGAGCCACCAAAATAATAGCTGAGAAGTGTGGCTTCGCTCTTGAATCAAAACAGAGAATTTACATAGGGTAAATTCAAAATATACTATGAATACCTAGATCATATGACAACAGGGATCATCTGAAGTCATTGTTGTTGAAGACAACAGCTCGTAGTTCAGTAGCTGAAATTGAACTCTATATGCATGCTATTCATGAATAACTCACAACTAACGAGTATTCAAACTCGCTGAATATGAATAGTTGCCACTCACGAGTATTCGCGAATACTGCTTACTAATCAACGAATATTCGCCATCAATACTCGTACGAATGCGAATATCACTTCTCCAACTTTGATGAATATTCATATTCGCGAATGTATATTCGTGCTTCACTCTAGAGGCTGCTCAATGCTTTTTGTCTTTCCAGTCAAAAAAGTGTGGGGTATTGGGCTTAAGAAAAGAGTAAGGACAACCTGGTGGTGAATGGATCACACCCACCCTTACTTGCCCAATTACCGTCGGATGTAAGGTGGGAGTCCCCGGTTCGATTCCGGGCCAGGTCATAACTCTAGGGCAACTTTCTTTTCTTCTCATTCTGCACAAAAAAAGCATAGTGTATTGGGCTTTGAAGCAGGGTGAGGAAGACCTGCTGATGGATGGATCACACCCACTTTCTTACGCAGTACATCAGTAAAATTATACGGTGGGAGTTGCTCGGTTCGATTCCGGGCCAGGTCATAGTTCTGCCATATATCACATTTTTTTATTTCCTCTTGTTTTCATTTCAAGTGAAATGTTGTGTGTGTATTGAACTTTGCAGGAGGGTAAAGCAGACCTGGTGGTGAATGGTTCACACCCACCTTCATTCTACTTATCTTTCAGGAAGATGAAGTGGGAGCACCCGGTTCGATTCCGGACTAGGTCGTGCAAAATCTACAAGCCCTTTGTTTTGCTCATTTGAGCCAGAAATCATAGTGTGTATTGGACCTAAGAGCTGAGGTAACGAAGACCTGGTGGTGAATGGATCACACCCACTTTCATTTAACCAGGAGGATAAAATACGGTGGGAGTCCCCGGTTCGATTCCGGGGCAGGTCCTAGCATCGTCTGCCATGTTTTTTTGCTCTCATTTAAGCCAAAGTAGTTGAGTTTAATATGTGGAAGAACAAAGGTAAGGAAGACCTGGTGGTGGATGGATCACATCCACTTTCCCTCACTCTTTATCAATTGTACAGTAGGAGATCCCGGTTCGATTCCGGGCTAGGTCATAACTCGTCATCCATTTCTTTTTCTCTTCCTTGCCAACCAAAATTGTGGTGTGTATGGGGCCTAAGAACAGGCTCAGGAAGACCTGGTGGTGAATGGTTCACACCCACTTCCCTTGCAGTTTGCACCCTTTGTGCATAACAAGTGGAAGTCCCTAGTCTCCCGTAGTCAGACTCCACAAGATATATCTTTTATATGGAGTCTGATTTTGTTGGCATGTCTGATCAAGGACCTCGGCTTTTGATGGAAGTTCCCACGGCCTAGTCGGGATGGATTTCGCAGTTCACCATGCCTGCCTTATGCTTTTGCCTGGTAGTCCACCTAAGGCGAATTAATTATAGTCTGAGATATGCCTTGTAAAATCACTCCGCATTATCTTCATTCTTGCGCCCACAGCGGTGGTTTAACTACTTTGCACAAAATTGAGTAATGCACTTCCAATTTTGATTCTTTTCATCTGCAAAAACGGGTAATACATGTCGAGTATTGTGTAAGGAGCTGCCTATATACACTACGCCTCCACCAACCTCTGTGGAAAGGTAATTGTCCGAATTGAGCCGTGGGAAAGCTCCGCACGTGACGGGAAACCGAGGTCCGGGATCGCCGATGCCAACAGATTCAGACTAGGAAGTCCCCGGTTCGATTCCGGGCCAGGTCATACAATCTTAATATCATCCTTTTTTTTTTTTCTCACCTTAAGTCAGATATCATGATGTGTATTGGGCCAACAAACAGGGTAAGGAAGACCTGGTGGTGAATGGTTCACACCCACCCTCCTTGACCAGCCGTTTCTGAACCCATGTGAGGTGGGAGGCCCCGGTTCGATTCCGGGTCAGGTCATAGTTCTGCCATATATCACATTTTTTTATTTCCTCTTGTTTTCATTTCAAGTGAAATGTTGTGTGTGTATTGAACTTTGCAGGAGGGTAAAGAAGACCTGGTGGTGAATGGTTCACACCCACCCTCTTTACAATGTTGGCGGAACGGGATGTAAGGTGGGAGTTCCGGTTCGATTCCGGGCTAGGTCATTGCTCTTTGACTTCGGCCCTTTTTGAGAAATTTAGTGCTGAAAAAGTGTAGGTTATTGAGTATGATAGGGAAGGTAACAAGACCTGGTGGTGAATGGATCACGTTTGCTTTCCTTTACCAAGGAGCACAGCATACAGTGGGAGTCCCCGGTTCGATTCCGGGTTGGGTCATGACTTTCTGGAACCGATGTTTTTTTCTTCCTTCTGTTTTTCATTTCAAGAAAAATGTTGTGTGCTTATTGAGTGTAGGAAGGGAGGAAGGAAGACCTGGTGGTGAATGGTTCACACCCACCCTTGTTACGGTCTTTGAAAGTCAATGTCAGGTGGGAGTCCCCGGTTCGATTCCGGGACAGGTCATAATTCCATTATTGGGCTGGTTTTTTGTTCACCTTTTAAGCCAAAAATCATAGTGTGTGTTGAGCCTAACAACAGAGGTGAGAAGACCTGCTGGTGAATGGTTCACACCCACCCTTTCTTTGCGCCAATGAAAAAAGTGTATGGTGGGAGTACTTGGTTCGATTCCAGGTCAGGTCATAGCCAGTCTACATTGCTTTTTTTTCACATTTGGTAAAAGAAAATTGGGCTTTATTGAGAGACCAGAAGGAAGGAGGAAGACCTGCTGGTGAATGGTTCACATCCACCCTTCTTGGCAAAGTCCTGCAATGCAGTAAGATCGAATGTAACTGTCACTGTACGGTGGGAGTCCCGGTTCGATTCCGGGTTAGGTTATAGCATGGCTCCTACGTCTCTTTTTCACCTTTAAGCCAGAAATCATAGTGTTTATTGGACCTAAGAACAGGGTCAAGAAGACCTGGTGGTGAATGGATGTGAACCATATGGTTCACATCCACCCTCCTTACAAAGTCCCAATGCATGTGAGATGGAAATCCCGGTTCGATTCCGGGCTGGGTCATAAGTTAATTATGCCACGCTTTTTTTTCTGCCTTCTATTTATCATTACAGGAAAAATATTGTGTTATTGGACCTAAGAACAGGGTTGAGAAGACCTGCTGGTGAATGGTTCACATCCCCCCTCCTTACAAAGTCCCAATGCATGTGAGATGGAAATCCCGGTTCGATTCCGGGCTGGGTCGTAAGTTAAGTATGCCACGCTTTTTTTTCTGCCTTCTGTTTTTCATTTGAGCCAGAAATTATGCTGTGTGTTAAGCCTAGGAAGGAATAGAGAAAGACCTGGTGGTGGATGGTTCACACCCACCCTCCTTGAGTGATTTCCAACACATGTAAGGTGGGAGCTCCCGGTTCGATTCCGGGCTAGGTCATAGACCTGGCTCTACATTTCTTTTTCACCTTTGAGCCAGAAATCATGATGTGTGTATTGGACCAAAGAAGAGTGTAAGAAAGACCTGGTGGTAGATGGATCACATCCACTCCCCTTGCGCTGTTGCCTCATAGGATCATGTGAGGTGGGAGTCCCGGTTCGATTCCGGGCTAGGTCATTGCTTGTGAGCTTCTGCTTTTTTTTCTCATTACCACAGAGTGTATTGGGCTTAAGGACAGAGGTAAGAAGACCTGGTGGTGAATGGATCACACCCACCTTCATTCTGCTTGCCTTTCAGGAAGATGAAGTGGGAGCACCCGGTTTGATTCCGGGTCCGGTCATTCATCTTGTGTCTCGGACTTCTTTTTTCTCATTTAGCACAAAAATCATGGTGTGTGTTGAGCCTAAGAACAGAGGTAAGAAGACCTGCTGGTGAATGGTTCACACCCATCCTTCTTGAGTACTCTGCGGTAAATGTGAGGTGGGAGCTCCCGGTTCGATTCCGGGTCAGGTCATGAGTGAACTCCAGTTGTCACGATTCGATTCCAATCTTATCGTTCCAACGCCATCTGAGACTGTTGCCAAACAGGAGCACACAGATAAGATAACGGCGGACGACACCCCTAAGTCTGAGCTAGAACGGGAAGAGACCCCTAAGCCCGAGCCTACACCTGAGAAGGGATACGGCTTGAGTATGGAGTTAGTCGAGTTCGAGGACCTGAACTACGACGACGAGATCTTCAACACCCCTGAAGATCAACAGGAACAGATCTTCGGCACCTCCCAAGATCAAGACGAACAAACCTTCGGCCAAGAGTCAGCCAAAGGCGACAACTCCGAAGTCTCGGAAGAGGAGATGCCGGAGCCCGAGTCAACCCCCGAGAGTCGAAGCCGAGCCCAGCTACAAGAGTGGCTCGACGCTCTCGAGCAGATCACATTCGGCAGCCAAGCCGGAGACGAAGAAGCCGGCAACCAGCTAAGGCAGAGGCTGGCCGAACTCGAGCAGAAGGTTCTCCAGGAAGAAGCCGAAGAGAACCAAGCCGCCGACCAAGGGATCACAGAAGATATAGATCCTGAGGTCGAGGATCTCGTAGACGCCCAGAATGATAAGGGTGATAACGAGATAGCAGAACGGGCACAGGTCGAAGTGCAGAGGCGCCCACAGGCGTCTAAGATAGTGGAAGCGCCCAAGCGCCTAAACTATATCATGCTACCGGAAGAAGTCCCTCGGACAGAACCGGTTAAAGGCAAGAACCGGAAGGAGATAGACAATCTCTTCCGAAGGCTATTAGAAGAAGATAGCGAAGGAGATGACGAGACGGAGGAAGAAGCCGAAGCACGACTCATCGCAGAGAACAACGCGCGATGGGAAAGGTGCTTAGAGTACCGAAGGAAGTACTGCGAGGAATACGGCAGTAACGGCAGCGACGATGACGAGCCAGAGCCGCCGCAGGACTTCAGAGGGAACACGACGTACGAGGACAACCCCTCAGACGACGAAGAGTTCTACAACAGGAACTCAATATGGGAATAGAAGATATCCCTATCAGGACATGGCACCGCCATTGTAGATTAAACGGGAACACAGTCTTGCGCGACACATATTGTCCGCTTGGGACAATCCGCAGTGACTAGTCACGCGTGACGCTCTGGGAGCGCTTCACCAGAAGACATGGCGGGACACCGAAGGCCGTACACCGACAGTACCGCCCGACAGCTGTCGCCTGCCATACAACGCACACACCGATCATGGGAATACAGAAGCCCTACGATCGAAGAAGCACCAAGGACACATGGTGTTAATAGAAGACCTTGATCGAGGGACCGATCGACGAAGAACCCGCACCCACATGGCAAGACACACACCAAGGTGCAAGGTGGATATTATTGGCTCACAGACAAAGCCTCGGACGAAGGATCAGTGGAGACGACAAGAGAACTCCCAGCATACAGAAGTAAAGGTGTATGCCGATCCATGAAGACGGGCTAGACGCCAGGAGCCGCAGTATGTATATATTAAATGACACCCGCCACACGCACGACAAAGGACAGCATAACGCATGATTAAAGGTATTACTCACAGGAGCACACGAGGCTACGAACAAGTACCACGCAGTCGCTACCATATTTAGTAGTTAGTAGTTCACACCTAGACAGTATAAGTACGACTAGTTAGTAGAGTATTCTGTACCCTCCCTAGTCGTTTATTCGATCATCTTTACGAAGCCTCTGGCTGGACTAAGATCTCACTCCCCAATCCACTATCTCAGTATAGCTGGACGAGATTAGATTACCAGGGCTTTGTCTGTGACATAATAAACGACTACTCTTCATACCGCACCGTACCGCCACCCCGACCTCCTTTCCTCACCCTCCCCCCTCGCGCACTCTTTGCGTACCCTCTACCCATTCACCACTCGCGCACTACTTGCGTAACCAAGAACAACACCACCCCCACCATCGCCCGCACACTATTGTGCAACCCAACCACCACGAAAACGAACCCCTCGCGCACTATTTGCGTACGTTTATCCTTCCATCCGTTCCTGTCTCCATCGCCACCCCTCCTCTTCCCCCCCGACTCTCAGACGCGGCTCGGACGTAAGGCGTATCCGGCACCGACAAATTAAAGAGGTCCACTCTCTAAACAGACAGACGCTAGGCCACGGGAAACGTTGAGTCCGTCCCAAGCCACATAGCAGTCGTAGGAGTCCCGCCACCTGTTAAAACCAGGGGGCCGGCTCGCTATCGCCGGGCACGTGAAGAGAAGGCCCGGGGTAGTTCTGTTTGCAACAGACACTCTTTGATTCCACCCCCCGCTCCGTGCGGAAGAAGAAAAGCCGCGAACGAAACCGCGCATCACCGAACGACTCTTCGGAGTCCACGCCAACCCCACCCCTCCCCCCATCACCCCCTGCGCACCTTTTGCGTATACGAAACCACCTCCCCCAACCCGAGAAACGGTGGCCTAGACCATGGCCATCGCAGAAGAAATCCGAGTGCGGCTGCCAAGCCCACTAGCCTATAGGCGTCCGGCGATGCCTCTAAGCAAGGAACCGGAAAAACCCGCGGCTCAAAAGAGCTTGCCGCGCGGCATGTTTTGGATCCCCGCCACCGTCGTAAAGCCCGCGACTATAAATAACGGGACAGCGACCGTCGCAGGACCAGCGACTCTAAATAAGGGAGTCACGAAGACTGTCGGAACATCACCGACAAAAAATGTCGTGGGAACCACGACTATAAATAAAGGTTCACGAACGAAGACTGCTCGGGGAGCAGTAAACGCAGAGAAGCCGGGGGCTTCAAGCAGAACCGAACCCAAGGGGGTTCATGTCGACCACTACCCGGGGGGTAGTAAGCGGAGGGATCCTTCGGGATCCAAGACGAAAAAGCAAGCCGGGACTCGGAAGCACGTCCGGTTTGCAGCAGAACCCATGCCCCGGGTAATGGGCACCACGAAGTTCGGGCGGTACCAAAGCCTTGAACAGGAGGAGGCGGAGATGTTCCCAGAAGGGGAATTTCCGCAGCGAACCCCGATCCCCGAAGAACGGCGGGATCACGAGAACACGGCCAAAGAACGGGCCGGGGGACCCAACAAGTCCCAACAGACACAGTCGATCCGGCGGTCGACTATAAAGAACCTTCCCAGGGAAGTAAAACCGAAGACCGGACAAAAGAAGTCCGAAGCACCCCCGAAATCCAAGGGGCCGACAACTCCCGAGGTCGCCAAGCCGAAGGAGCAGAAGGATCGTCGAAAGGCGATCAAAACGATCACCAGTGTGATCGGTACAGACAAAGTGCCGATCAAACAGATGAAGGAACTTGCCGAAGCACTGGCCAAGTTCAACAAGAAGGAAGCCCCGACGCCGGCTGTAAATAGGGTCAACGAGACTGCTCAAGGGAAAGAGCAGGGAAATAAAACCAAGCGCCCAGATCATGAATTCGATCTGAAGACTCTGTGTGTCACGACATACACGCACCGGAGTATGGCAGAGCTTGCCGAGAAATTAAAAGCTCAAAAGGGACTCGCCCCAAAATGGCGAAAGATAACCCGAAACATTTTTCGGTGTTATAACTGCGGAGGAGCCGGACATATGCTCCGAAAATGCAAGAAGCCGCTTCGCAGACGGTTTCCCACGGGGTTATTTAACCCAGACGAATATTCGCAAGGAGACTTGCAAGTCCTGTCCAGGAAATTACGGGCAGGAGGATTATTTAAATTGGACCCGGAAACCAAGAAGAAACCGGAGCAGAAGCCGGAAACGGCAGCCAGAAATATTTATGGCAGATATACGTTCCTAGCGGAACAAGAAAATTTTAAAACCACCAAAAAAGACGGAGAAGAAGAGACCCCCCTAGAGAGGGGGTGGAGCCCGAAAGGGATGTTTATTGGGTGCCGATCAAAGAAGGATCGGACCTTAAAACAAAAAGGAGTCGGTGGACATGCCGATGTAAAAGAAACATCCAAAGAGGAACCGGAAGAAGCCGCCGGGATAGAAATAGATGCCAACAGCCGCAGATCCGACAACGCGGAAAAGGGCGGCAATGCCGCGATGGCTCAATCCCGGACGGACAGGGAGGAAGCGCCAGAAGAACAGAAGAAGTCAGGGACTTCGGACGTTACCAAAGCCGAGGAAATGCCAACGCCACAGGGCATTTCACGCGAAGAACCCAGAACCCAAACTGGTACAAATAGTGCGGATAAACAGGACGGCGATGCCGTGGGAACTCAATCGATCACCATCGAGGAAGCGTTCACGCTCGAAGCAAAGACAACGCTGAGAGCAGCGAAGACGGTTCGGGGAGCACTCCGAAGCCGCAAGATCAACACTCGTAGAATGTACGCGAGTATAAACAAGACGAATAGCGGCAAGCAAGGAAAGCGGCTTGCAACGATTCAGGAGGAGTCCTACGAATACTCGACGACGGGAGAAGCCGAGGTCACGTCACAGACCAAAGCCGACGCCCAGAACCTCGAAGACTTGAAGGCACTTTTAGATAAGATGCTGGAAATAGAGGAACCCGTGGGAGAAGTCCCTATAATACTTATCGAATCCGAGCAAGGCACGGAGGAGAACGCCGGGATAAAGCCCGAAGAGGAGGAATCCTTAGAATATTCAAAGACCACCCCAGTCAACGAGGACGTTGACTCTAGAGAGGGGGTAATGTCACGATTCGATTCCAATCTTATCGTTCCAACGCCATCTGAGACTGTTGCCAAACAGGAGCACACAGATAAGATAACGGCGGACGACACCCCTAAGTCTGAGCTAGAACGGGAAGAGACCCCTAAGCCCGAGCCTACACCTGAGAAGGGATACGGCTTGAGTATGGAGTTAGTCGAGTTCGAGGACCTGAACTACGACGACGAGATCTTCAACACCCCTGAAGATCAACAGGAACAGATCTTCGGCACCTCCCAAGATCAAGACGAACAAACCTTCGGCCAAGAGTCAGCCAAAGGCGACAACTCCGAAGTCTCGGAAGAGGAGATGCCGGAGCCCGAGTCAACCCCCGAGAGTCGAAGCCGAGCCCAGCTACAAGAGTGGCTCGACGCTCTCGAGCAGATCACATTCGGCAGCCAAGCCGGAGACAAAGAAGCCGGCAACCAGCTAAGGCAGAGGCTGGCCGAACTCGAGCAGAAGGTTCTCCAGGAAGAAGCCGAAGAGAACCAAGCCGCCGACCAAGGGATCACAGAAGATATAGATCCTGAGGTCGAGGATCTCGTAGACGCCCAGAATGATAAGGGTGATAACGAGATAGCAGAACGGGCACAGGTCGAAGTGCAGAGGCGCCCACAGGCGTCTAAGATAGTGGAAGCGCCCAAGCGCCTAAACTATATCATGCTACCGGAAGAAGTCCCTCGGACAGAACCGGTTAAAGGCAAGAACCGGAAGGAGATAGACAATCTCTTCCGAAGGCTATTAGAAGAAGATAGCGAAGGAGATGACGAGACGGAGGAAGAAGCCGAAGCACGACTCATCGCAGAGAACAACGCGCGATGGGAAAGGTGCTTAGAGTACCGAAGGAAGTACTGCGAGGAATACGGCAGTAACGGCAGCGACGATGACGAGCCAGAGCCGCCGCAGGACTTCAGAGGGAACACGACGTACGAGGACAACCCCTCAGACGACGAAGAGTTCTACAACAGGAACTCAATATGGGAATAGAAGATATCCCTATCAGGACATGGCACCGCCATTGTAGATTAAACGGGAACACAGTCTTGCGCGACACATATTGTCCGCTTGGGACAATCCGCAGTGACTAGTCACGCGTGACGCTCTGGGAGCGCTTCACCAGAAGACATGGCGGGACACCGAAGGCCGTACACCGACAGTACCGCCCGACAGCTGTCGCCTGCCATACAACGCACACACCGATCATGGGAATACAGAAGCCCTACGATCGAAGAAGCACCAAGGACACATGGTGTTAATAGAAGACCTTGATCGAGGGACCGATCGACGAAGAACCCGCACCCACATGGCAAGACACACACCAAGGTGCAAGGTGGATATTATTGGCTCACAGACAAAGCCTCGGACGAAGGATCAGTGGAGACGACAAGAGAACTCCCAGCATACAGAAGTAAAGGTGTATGCCGATCCATGAAGACGGGCTAGACGCCAGGAGCCGCAGTATGTATATATTAAATGACACCCGCCACACGCACGACAAAGGACAGCATAACGCATGATTAAAGGTATTACTCACAGGAGCACACGAGGCTACGAACAAGTACCACGCAGTCGCTACCATATTTAGTAGTTAGTAGTTCACACCTAGACAGTATAAGTACGACTAGTTAGTAGAGTATTCTGTACCCTCCCTAGTCGTTTATTCGATCATCTTTACGAAGCCTCTGGCTGGACTAAGATCTCACTCCCCAATCCACTATCTCAGTATAGCTGGACGAGATTAGATTACCAGGGCTTTGTCTGTGACACCAGTCCTTTTTTCCCACTTTTGAGTCTGAAATCACAGTGTGTATCGGGGCAGAACAGGGTGAGGAAGACCTGCTGGTGAATGGTTCACACCCACTCTCCTTCGCCAATTACCGTCGGATGTAAGGTGGGAATCCCGGTTCGATTCCGGGTCAGGTCATTAGCTCCTGCTGCCGTGTTTTCCCACTTTTGACCCAGAATTGCAGTGTGTATTGAAGCTAAGAACACAGAAAGGAAGACCTGGTGGTGAATGGATCACACCCACTTTCCATGAAAGGTCGGCCAGGATATGTAAGGTGGGAGCTCCCGGTTCAATTCCGGGTTAGGTCATCGTTTATCTCCAGATGACCTTTTTTTCTCCCTTCTGTTTGTCATTTGAAGAAAAAATGTTGTGGGTTTATTGGGTCTGAAAACAGAGGTAAGAAGATCTGATGGTGAATGGTTCATTCACAGCCACCCTTCTTAAGCCATTCGACTCATATAAGGTGGGAGAGCCGGTTCGATCCCGGGACAGGTCATAGCCAGTCTACATTGCTTTTTTTTTCACATTTGGTAAAAGAAAATTGGGCTTTATTGAGAGACGAGAAGGAAGGAGAAAGGCCTGGTGGTGAATGGTTCATGCCCACCCTTCCTGTGTGTGTATCCTTCACAAAATGTGAAGTGGGAGTCCCCAGTTCGATTCCGTGTCAGGTCATCCGGCATCTGTTGATGTGTTTTTTCTCATTTAGCATAATAAAAATCAGGCTTGTTGGGGTTAGTAGGAGAGGTAAGAAGACCTGGTGGTGAATGGTTCACACCCGCTTTCCTTAACCATTGCAACGTCGCAAAATAAAGTGGGAGTACTTGGTTCAATTCCGGGTCAGGTCATTTGTGGGTCGTTAATCCTTTTTTTTCTCATTTGCACAAAAACAGGTGGGTTTATTGAGCTGAGAACAGGGTAAGGAAGACCTGGTGGTGAATGGTTCACACCCACTCTCTTTACTAAATCACAATTCATAAGATGTGAGGTGGGAATTCCCGGTTCGATTCCGGGTGAGGTCATTGTTTATCTGCGGACGACCTTTTTTTCCTTCCCTTCCAATGTATTTTCTTTCCGCTTTTGCTTTTCATTTAAGAAAAATCTTAAGGGTTTATTGAAGCTAAGAACAGGGTTAAGAAGACCTGGTGGTGGATGGATCACACCCACTTTCCTTCGACAAGGAGGATAGAGTCCGGTGGGAGTCCCCGGTTCGATTCCGGGTCAGGTCATATCCAGTCTGTATTGACATGCTTTTTTTTCCCCACTTCTTATTATTTTTCCCTCCGCACGCTCCTCTGAGGCTTTTCTAAAGAATTTATCGCGCTTCGGGTAAATAAGGTGGGGCGCATCTGCGCATCACCTCATTGACACACCGCCGCCTTTCGCTTACACCGGCACGCCGACACCGGCGTTTCACCGACACGCCCACGCCCACGCCCAGCCCACAGCATCCGCATAATTAAATTGATTGGAATCCCCGCTGAATCCCGAGATTATCTCGGGATCCTTCGTGTTTAGGTTCTCTCACGTCATTGCCTCGAGCTTCCCACGTCAGCTCATCTCTTTCTTCGACTCCCATTTCGTATTTGTTTCGCCGACGTCGATGTCGAGAGATAAGTTATAACCGGGACAGATGAAGATTCGCGCTGCCCGGTGTTAAGGTGTAATGCCCCTTGATAGGGACGAACAGTACCGCTCGGCGGTACACACGTTTGGAAGTGGGCCGGTGGCGTGCGGAATTGACTGACGACGCGAAGAAGGATTGGATCTGTGCTGGATCTGGGGGCCGATACGATACGATGCAGATTACGGATGACGAGCTGACGGGGAAGTAAATCGGGCGCGGCAGATGGAAGGTTCGTCGACAGCTGGGTTACTGCAACAGAGTATATCACCTCGAGTGCAAGTTGACTTGTCTTGTCTGTCTGTCTTGCTTGCTTGGCTGCTCTTGCACTTGTACTCGCACTATGGCCCGCCCTGCCCCGCTCTCGTTCCTGCCCCCCGCCTCCACCTCGAGCGGCGACTCGGAGCCCCCGTCGCCCACCCAGCCGAGCGCGCCGCACACCCCGCGCAGCCTCAGCTTCCTCACCCCCGTCGTCCCCGCCCGCGACTCCTCCTTGTCCAACGCCACCAACGCCAACTACCCCTACGCCAACCCCTTCAACAACACCACCCCCACCGCCAACGGAGGACAACAGAACCCGTTCTCCCCGCCCGCCTCCGTCCGCTCCTTCAGCGCCTCAGGCACCTTCTCGCCCTTGCACTCCCCCGCCCTCTCCACCGTGCCCCTCCCCGGCGACTCCCCCGCCACCCCCTATGCCCCCGGCGCCCCCAACGCCAACAGCTACTTCCCCGCCAGCGCCGACAGCACGCGCGCCAACTCCCTCGTCGACGTCCCGCGCGCCTTCGCCACCTACTCCGTCGGCCCCGGCGCAAACAGCCGCCCCAGCACGGGGGGGAGCGCGGCGGGGCGCGCGTCCACGTCGGGCGCGAGTCCGCTGGGGCAGACGAGCACGAGCGCGAACGCGAGCGAGGCGGACGTGAATACGCCCGGGAGCGGGAACACCATCAAGCCGAAGCGGTCGACGTTTGCGTCGCCGCCGCCGCGTCCCCTCACTATCTATGCGTCTGGCGCTGCTGGGCGCAGCACGGGGACGATGGGGCGCAGGGAGCGCCCGAAGAGCACGGCGCTGCTGGTGCCGAATGGGAATATTGTTGGGGATGCGGGTAAGCTCTTCTGTCTTGCAAGCTGTGGAAGAACCCGACTAACGCGTTTATTTCCCCCCAGGCGAATCATACAAGAAGAACCTAGCCGCGAGCGGGAAGAAGACCGTCCCCGCGGGGACGTACGCCACGCTCACGCAGACTTTGAGCAAGCCGTGGATCAAGAAGCGGGACCCGCGGGGGCGGGTGGCGTATTGGATTACTTATGGGGTTGTGTTGGGGGGTGAGTTGGCGTTTTTTGCGTTTTTTGGCGGCAGGCGGCGTCCGCGGGCGCGCGCCGCGGTGGCGTTGGCGCTTCTCCGTCCGCTTCCTCGACGTCCCCTTCGGCCTTGTGTTGTTTTTACTTTCTACTTCCTCGAATCCCTCCCCTTCCTCGAATACTTTACTAACACTTTGGTTTCACAGGCCTCGCAGCCGGCGCGGCGCGCATCTACACGGGGTACAAGGGCGTCATGATCATGAACGTGCGTTTTTTTCTTTTATCTCTACGTTCGCTTCGATTCCTTGTCTCTTCCATTTTGCTTGGATTTGAGGCGACTTTGCGCGGGACGGGCTTTGCGCGTGGGACGGGGCAGGCTTCCGTTCTTTTCGACTTTGTGCGATTCGGACTTGCTTTCGACTTGGCGCGGGCTTGGGCTTTCGGCGATCCGTGCTTTGCCGTCGCGGGCTTGGGCCTGTGGGGAGACGGGCTTTCCGTTCTTTTGTTTTCGACTTTGCGCCGGCGGCGAGGCGAGCTTGTCGGGACGCGCGGGCGGGTTTGACGCCTGCCTACTCGTCGTGCGTGTACCTGTCGTCGTCGTTCCCGTCCCACTCGTCCCGCCCGTCCTGCTGCGTCGCCTTCGCCCTGCTGCGTTCCACGGTCCTCGTGCATGCGGCGGCGGCGTCGCGTCTTCGGCCCCGCACCCTTCCTTCTTCCTTTTCCCGTTTCTCCTCATCGCCTCCAAATACCTTCCCCATCCTCCCTCCCCACCTCTTCCCCCCACTCTTCTCTCCCCCCTCCAAATACTCCTTTTTACCCCCACCCATTCCCTTCTCCCTTCTGTTTCCGCTCGCTAACCCCCCCCCCCTTCTAGGACACACTCTGCCCCGTCCTCACACAAGACTTTTCCTCCACCACCACCGCGCAGCTCTTCGGGAGCGGGCCCGCGGGCGAGGGGGGCACGTGGTTTAGGGAGGTGGATGCTAGTGGGTTTGGGTGCGTAAGCCTTCGTTTTTTGTTTCTCTACTCTGCTCTTTTGCGGCCCTTGGGGAGCAAGATTGTGTGTCGATTGCGTGTCGGGGGGAAGAGATGGGGGACCGCGAGACGGGGCGGGGCGTGTGTTTCGCGGTGGGGTGCGAGACGGGACGGTGCGTTTTGCGGTGGGGGTGCGAGACGGGGCGTGCGTTTTTTGTGATGGGTCTCCGCCCGTGGACATGGAGTGGGTTCGTGGACGCGGCGGATGGGCGGGGGCGCGCTTTCGCTTGGTGTGCGCTTTATTATGCAGCACGCGGTCGGGTCGTCGCGCGGGCTGAGATCCTTTCCTTTGCAGCCCCCACCTCTTTTTCTCCCTTCTTTTCTCCCCCCCATTCACTTCCCCTCCTCCCTCTTGCTCCCTACTCCCACTTATGCTCACTCCGTTCGCCCCCCACAGCAACGGCGAATTCGAAATGACGACCGCCTCAGACTCCAATTCCTTCGTGTACAACAACCAGCTGTACCTCGTCCCCACGCTCACGAGCGACGTGATTCCGCAGAGCTCAATTTTGGGTGCGTTTTTGTGTTTCGTGGACTTCTACTTTTCTTGCCGTTGGATTTGGGAACTCGGGGCGTGCCGTCGGGCCGCCGCGTCGAGTGGACTCACCCCGAGCCATCCAGGAGGGACGTGGGCGCCGCAGCCCTCCCACCTACCTACCCCTTCCTTACTCGTCAAAAACAACGAAGAACCGCTCGCTAACCACCTTTTTTGCAGACGGCGCAGTCTACAACCTCACCGACTGCACGTACAACATCACGCACTCGTCGGGGTACACCACCACCGGGCACGGCAGCGCGGGGATCAATAGCACCGAGGGGGATGGGGGGGATGGGACGGGTGCGGGGATTGGTTAGTGTTTTTTGTCTTCCTGTCGTCTTCGAGCATGGGCTTCCGCTTTTTACGCGCCATGACTTCCGCTTTTACGCCCCATGGCTTCCGCTTTTACTTGACACCTCATGCTAACGCACATTCACCCACAGCCCCCGACACGCCGCTCGACGTCGAAGCCTACCTCGCGGCCTGCTCCGCCGTCTCCAACGCGACCGAGGGCAAGATCCTCCCGCCTGTGATGAGTGCAAGGATTAGTACGAGGCGGAGTGCGAGTATGAAGTGCGTTTCCTCCTTTCTTCCACCGTAAATGTGAGAATCGTCAACTAACACACCCACCCAGATTCGGGCGCGTCGAAGTGCGCGCGAAGCTCCCCACGGGCGACTGGCTCTGGCCCGCAATCTGGATGCTGCCCGTCGACAGCGCGTACGGGCCGTGGCCTCTGAGCGGCGAGATCGACATTATGGAGGCGCGCGGGAACGGGCCCAGCTATCCCAAGCAGTGCGTGCTTTCCCCTCTTCCTCTCGTCTACTCTTAGTTGGTACGGGACGGTACGCTACGCGATGCTAACACACACGAAACAGGGGCATCAACTACGTGCGCACGTCGCTCAACTGGGGCCCCGCGACGTTCCTCGACGCGGTCGCCAAGACGTACGGCTGGCTGTTCGAGCGCCGCGGCCGGTTCGACGAGGAGTTCCATACGTATGCGCTCGAGTGGAATGAGCAGTTCATGTGCGTCTCCCTTCCTTTGCCTCCCCCTGCTTTGCCATGGGTAGCAGCTGATGCAGTGCACGACAGCCGGACGTACGTCGACTCGCGGCTGAACGACATCTACGAGGTCAAGCTGGACCAGTCCTTCTGGGACCGCGGCGATTTCCCGACCGTGGTGCAGAACGGGACGCAGAGCGTCGTGCTTGAGAATCCGTGGGTGAATGGCACCAAGGCGGCGCCGTTTGATCAGCGTATGTCCCCCCCCCTCTCTCTCTGGTAAATTACGTGACGACTGATGTGCGCTTTAGCCTTCTACCTGATCATGAACGTCGCGGTGGGGGGCACGAACGGGTGGTTCCCCGATGGGCCGGAGAAGCCGTGGCTCGACGGCTCGGGGACCGCGCCGCTCGACTTTTTGCGCGCGCAGGACCAGTGGTACCCGACGTGGCCGCAGGATATCAGTAAGCGCGCTATGGTCATGTGCGTTGTTCCTTCCCTTGCCTTCGTTTGTGTGCTGATTGAGCGGTTTGTTTGCAGCGACTCGGTGAAGATGTGGGAGAAGTGCTAGTGCTGATCCCATGCGCTCGACGCACGCAAAAAAAACGACAGCAGCAGCAGCAGCAAGCACATACGAAGATAATATATTCATCATACTCGCGCCCGTCGCCCGTCGCCCGTCGGCACACACACACACATGCACGCATACACTCGTTTCCTTTGACACCGCT